TTCATTGAGGCAGTCAGCTAGACCTTTATCCTCTTCTACATACCTTCCTTCTTTTGTTTTTAATCTAGCTGATCCTTGTTTTACTTTCCATTTCTCATTTATGTATCTAAAAAATGTTTTGTCCCCCCCTTTTTTTTTTTTTTTTTTTTTACCGACTGTGCTATTTTCTCTTCTGTGTGTGATTTGGAAGCTCTTATAACTTAGAACTCTTTCTGCCTAATCTTATAGATCTGTCTATCTTCCTCACTCTGTTTTTTTTTTTATAATTACTAAATGCTAACTTTTAGTTTTTTACTATTTTGGCCACATCTGCGGAGTGGTTTCTTACATTTTTGCTTTTAGTGACAAGCCTAATGCAATTAGTCTTAATTGTGCAATTCAGCTGTCGTATTGCAATTTGGTGTTTTGTGAAAAAAAATGCAGGGATTAATTGTCTAAAGTTCTAAACAGTAAAATGTGGCTGAAAAATCTCCCTAACTCCTATCACATTTTGTCTACTTTCTCCTAAATGTTGCAAATAGTGTTTCCAATTCTCATAAACCTCTTAGTCTTGTTTGAGTTGAGAATGCAAAGAATTTTCAACCAGAATTAATTTCAAGGAAAACCTGTTTAATGACTTAGTATAGGATTGGTTTACAACTTTATGTTTCGAAATGTAGCATATCTGGGTATTCTGGTAAATAAATATGTAGTCCAGGAAACTATGCTGGCAAAAAAAACAAATATGTTTAAAAATAATATTCTGAATACACAACTTCTGAATGTAAAAGGACTCTCTTCCCTCAAAGGAACAGTGACTTAATTAAAGGAATATTTTAGTGTTAGGAATACAAAGATGTATTCCTAACACTAACATGTTCCTCAGCCCCTGCAGCGATGTTAAAGGGACACTGAAGGCACCCAGGCAATTGCCGCGCATGCGCATTAGGTCACCCCCCCAGCTGACGTTGGCGGGGGAGGAGCATGGGCTAACCTAGCTGCCTGTTGCCTGACACGTGTTTCGGCGCTACTGAACGCGCCTTTTTCTGAGGCTATAGTAGCGCCGAAACACGTGTCAGGCAACAGGCAGCTAGGTTAGATAGGTGTTGGTGCTCCAGCCGTTTCAGCTTATGACAGCTAGTTAGATAGAAGTCTATGTTTCAGCCGTTCCAAGTTTGCTACCTTACTGAGGGTTGTGGGTGATCAGGGGTATTTATCACTTGTTTTGAGCATTTGCTACCTCTGATCTATTAGAGGGGGAAACCTCATCTCTTATTCCCCACTGCGTGCCCAGACTATAGCCAAGTAGGGCAGTCGCACTCTCTAGTGCCCCCTTGACCTGGTGCTTCATAACAAAGTATATAGGGTCTGTATGGGCATTGCAGCCTATGCTAACAGAGGCATTGGATACATTGTATCACTCCACTATTGACTGTATACTACTGTTTATCTACTAAGTAGCAGACCTTGCTTTTTTGATTGTGTATCAGCTTCCCTCCTTGATGTGTAGCATTATTTGGTAACCTCAGCCTTATAGGGTGATAATTAGAGGCTCATTGTGAGTGTTATTAGTTATCCACAACTATAGATGGGAGCCCCACAATAGATTGCTACGACTGTGATCATTTAAAGCTACGGTACGAGTACTGTATTGGGACCCCCTTCTCTTCTAAGATACTATTGGATCCATTTAAGAGATTATATTATTGGGGTATATATCCCACTCAGGAGATACAATTGATTTTTTCCTTAACCTATCCAACCCATTTTTTAATTTTGTTCTGTTTTCCTTGTCTTTTTTAGCATGAGTATTTTATTATAGAAATCATTAAAAGCTATGTTTTATATATACAGAGTTTAATTAAGGGACTTCCTATTTCCTTGACCCACTGGGTCTCCTTTTTTTCTTTCTACACATATATGTGAGGGTTACCCCCTTTATGTTCGCCCCTGACACACATTTATCTGGTTCCCTTAGAGGCTTCTAGCTCTCTGTTTTTCAATATTACCCTATTGTGATGCGGCCATGGATTAGCCAGGAATTTGAAAATTTACTCATACTTACCGTAATTTTCTTTTCCTGGATAGATCCACGGCAGCATCAAATTTTTTGCCTCCCTTCTTCGTCTTTTCTTTCTTTTATTATAGACCTTCAAGCGTGTTTCAAGACTGAGGGTTCAGAGAGGGGAGGTCCTATTCATAATTTGGTTCCTGTCCTAAACAGCCAAGTGGGCCGTCTAACTGTATTGTGATGCTGCAATGGATCTATCCACGAAAAGAAAATTACGGTAAGTATGAGTAAATCTTCGAAAATATTTACCTTTGCTGCTTTATTTACCCCAGTAAACTGCAAAAGGGCAGTTACTGGGGTAAGAGAACAAGTAACTGATATTTTTTTTGTAAAGGGCAGTTTCTTTGAAATTAAGTTTGAAATTTTAAATGAAACAGTTTGTCCTATTTCTTCAACAAATTTCTATGCTATTGTCCAAATTAAATCTTCATCAGCACCCCTATGTAGTCCTCAAAACATTTTTTTTGTGTGTGTGTGTTTTATTTTATAGATTTCACAACCATGGTTGGCTGTATAAACTATAGAGGGGAAAATTATATAGATGATGCATTAAAAAGTATGCAAAACCTTTCTGTTATACGCAATACGTATTTGCTTCTAAAAAAGTACCTTGTAACTCACCGACTTAACAAAAATAAAGAATTAAAAAAAAAAAAAAAAAGTATGCAAAAATTTAATTTAAAAAATTATAAAATCAAGTTCTTTACAGATGCAGAGTTTAAAATGTCTGCCTGCAGCTACAGACAGACCCAGGACCGGTGCAAGGATCAATTGGATAATATCTATTATTATTCAGCTGCCAATTTGGTTAATTCTGAGATCGTGCTCTGAAAAGTCCCAATGGGAGAAAGGTGCTATATAAATACTAGCTATTATTATTTTACAGTGAACAGTGTGCTGCCTATGCTCCCCATGATATCAATTACAATTGTTTATATAGCACTAACATATTCCACAGCGCAATAGAAAAGGAAAAAAGCCAAACATTTAATGTCCATTGCATGGACAATATATAACTTATTGTATATTATATATATAGCAATAGCATAGAATAAAGGCATACACAATAAAGAGACTGTAAATGGATATAATGGCTGTTTTTTTTTACTTAAAGCAATGGTTCTCAACCCAGTCCTCATGACCCACCAACAATACAGGATTTATGTACAGTATTTACCTTTTTTATTCCATTGGATATACTGACAAAATCTGTACTGTTGGTGGGTTGTGAGGACTGGTTTGGGAACCTCGATATAAAGGGTTTGAAAGGCATTGCAAATAACCATTCAAATAAAAACAAACCAAAATTGAGTAAACATTAAAGGGACACTATAGTCACCAGAACTACAGCTTAATGTATTTGTTATGGTGAGTATAGCATGTTCCTGCAGGCTTTGTGTAGTAAACACTGTTTTTTCAGAGAAAAATTTAGTGTTATTTTTTACAGCCTAGGGATAACTCCACTGGCCACTCCTTAGATGGCTACTAGAGGTGCTTACTGGGTGCAGTACTGACATTCAGTGTCTCCACCCTCTGCATTGAGACACTGAACTTTTCTCATAGAGATGCGTTGATTTGATGCATCTCTATAAAGAGATGCTGATTTGCCAGGGATGTGTTTGGCTTGTGCTGGCTCTGCCTCACACCTGCCTCCTTGACAATCTCATCTCATCTTACTATGGGAAGGCATTGTGATTGGCGGAGATCACCACTTCTGATGATGTCAGCCAAGGAGGCAAATCAGGGGCAGAGCAAGAACAAGCAGACTGGAATAATGGTAAGATTTTACTATAGTTAGGGGGGCATGGGGGAAGGATAGTGTTTTTAACACTATAGTGTCAGGAATACATGTTTAAATGTTCCTTTAAAATAACTTTAAAACTAAGCTTAAACCAATACAATCCGCCCTGAGAGCCAGATTGTTATAATTGCACCTCTACCCACTCCTAAAATTATAGACTACCTTACCCCTTGACTTAAAGCCTACTAAAGATAATTGGGAGGGTGGGCTTCCCCTAGTAAGCTGATGGAAAAGTTTTATTCTGCCAAAAATGCCAAATGCTATATAATTCATTAAAGCAGCATTATAGTGCCAGGAAAACAAACTTGTTTTCCTGGCACTATAGGGTCATTAGGTCCCCCACCCTCAGGGCCCCCCTCCTGCTGGGCTGAAGGGGTTAAAACTTACCTTTCTCCAGCGCCAGCTCCCTCTGTGCTGGGGAACTCTCCTCCCCCTTCTGACGTCAGATCCGAATGCACATGTGTGGCAAGAGCCGCGCGCGCGCATTCAAGCCGCCCATAGGAAAGCATTACTCAATGCTTTCCTATGGACGTCCAGTGTCTTCGCGGAAGCCCCTCTAGAGGCTGTCAATGAGACCGCCACTAGAGGCTGGATTAACCGTCAGTTTATAGAAGAAATGGTTAACTCTAGCTGGACCTGGCACCCAGATCACTTCGTTGAGCTGACGTGGTCTGGGTGCCTATAGTGGTCCTTTAAGAATATGTGGTGATTTTTACCTTTGCGGTTTCCCTTTTTACATTTTTTTTTTATTTTTTAAATCCGACAATAGATGAGAACTAACACCACACCTTTTTTTTTAATTTTTATTATTATTGCTATATTTAGGTATAACATACATGGATGTATAGTTCAAAACCCTATTTATTACACACAAACACACTTGAAAAGTTTACAGATTTCAGCTTTCAGTGATAAGATTAGAATGTAATGATAATAATAAAAAATCTTTATTCACTAATATCCCACTAAACTGAAAACATAAACAATATTCACACTACTGTGACCTTCCCACTATGGCGTGCCAACACTGCCATTTACGTTATGGCCATGCCCACAGAGGAGTCTGATTTGACCTTCCCATCATGGCGCCTCTCCTACACCCAAAGGCGCAGGGGGCGTGACGTCACGACGTCGCGCAAGCCCGTTCCCCCCCCTTACCCTCCTCCTCCTTGCGGTGACTCCATTTTGTGCTAGTGGTCGAAGCTCCTGGGTTCTATTTCCGGGTTGGTGGAGACCGGGGGGGACCGGAAACCAGAGGGAGCAGCGGAAGGAGAGGGTGAGTGAGCGAGAGAGAGAGAGGGGCGCAGACAGTCAGGCAGACAGACAGAGAGAGAGCCAGAGAGCTGTGCTTCTGGGAAGGTGACAGCACGCAATGCTATGAGACTGCTGACACCTGTGAGTTGGGATGTGGATGGAGAGAGAGTGACAGATTCCAGACACTCAGCCTTCACTATACACAGCAGCCAGAGCCTGGTTAGCTATCAGTGCAGCCCAGTGATGGGTAAACATTGCACTCTAAGGCTGATAAAGCATCATGGGAAATGTAGTTCTCATAACTGTGGGCTACACAGGTTATTCTTAAATAATACAGACATTATTAGTATTAATGAAAAGTATATGGCAGGCAGTGCATTGCAAGTACTGTTTATTTACATATTATTCTCATAACTGTGGGCTACACATGTTATTCTTAACTGATATAGACATTATTATTAATAATGAAAAGTATATGTCATGGTAGGCAGTGCATTGGAAGTACTGTTTATTTACATATTTTCATAAATTTGGGCTACACAGGTTATTCTTAACTGATAGACATTATTATTAATGATCAGTATGTGTCATGGCAGGCAGTGCATTGCAAGTACTGTTTATATATTCTCATAAATGTGGGCTACACAGGTTATTCTTAACTGATATAGACATTATTATTATTATTATTATTGAAAAGTATATATCATGGTAAGCAGTGTATTACAAGTACTGTTTACATATTATTCTCATAAATTTGGGCTACACAGGTTATTCTTAACTGATATAGATATTATTATTGAAAAGTATATTTCATGGTAAGCAGTGTATTACAAGTACTGTTTATTTACATATTATTCTCATAAATATGGGGTACACAGGTTATTCTTAACTGATATAGATATTATTATTATTATTGTAAAGTATGTCTTGGTAGGCAGTGCATTACAAGTACTGTTTACATATTATTCTCATTAATACTTTTTAAAATCCTGTTTTTATGGTTGATGGGTAGATATGGGTAAAGTAATATACCATAGAAGGGAGTGGTGAGGGCTGTGCCATCACTCCAGTGGGTGAAATATTCAAGTGATATCATCATTAAAGGTACACTATAGTCAACAGAACAGCTACAGCTTTTTTTTTTTTTCTTCAGAGAAAAGGCAGTGTTTACGTTGGTGCCTAGTAACACCTCTATTGACAGGCAGTCAGACTGCTAGAGGTGCTTCCTCTGTCTTACAGCACTGACGTTCAACTTCTCTGTGCTCTGCGTGGAGGCGCTGCACGTTCCCCCCCCATAGAGATGCATTGATTCAATGCGTATCTATGAGGTGAGGAGGTGCTGATTGACGCAGCGTGGCGTTTTGCTGTGCAGTCGCCTTCCAGTGCTTTTCTATGGGAACGCTTTGGATTGGCTGAGATTATCAAAATTGATTCTCTCAAACAAGGCGACGAGCCAGCTGCGGGGAGAAAAGGTTGAGTAAAATCACCTTTTTGGTGTGACCGGTTACCTAAACAGCCACAGCAGCGCTATAGTGTCAGGAATACATGTTTGTATTCCTGGTATTATAGTGTTCCTTTAAATTGTCAATGCTGTAATATTATTTATTTTGAGGAGGAGGGGAGATTAAATGCTCAAACTATTGCATAAACTTGTCCTGTTTGTGACTTTACATGAAGTTCTAACAAAAAACAGTTAAAGGACCACTATAGTGCCAGGAAAACATACTCGTTTTCCTGGCACTATAGTGCCCTGAGGCTGCCCCCACCCTCAGGGTCCCCCTCCCGCCAGGCTGGATGGAGAGGAAGGGGTTAAACTTACCTCCTCTTCGGCTGAATGCACATGCGCGGCAAGAGCTGCGCGCACATTCAGCCAGTCTCATAGGAAAGCATTTACAATGCTTTCCTATGGACGCTGGCGTCTTCTCACTGTGAAAATCACAGTGAGAAGCACGCAAGCGCCTCTAGCGGCTGTCAAGAGACAGCCACTAGAGGCTGGATTAACCCTAACATTAACATTACAGTTTCTCTGATTTATAGAAAAAAGGGTTAACCCTAGCTGGACCTGGCACCCAAACCACTTAATTAAGCTGAAGTGGTCTGGGTGCCTATAGTGGTCCTTTAATACATTCTTATTGTATATAACAAGAGACCATTTACCAATACAATAATGTTTTTTTTTTTATTTGTTTTTTTTTATTCTTGCTTTTTTTGTGGGAGGGGTTATTTATTAAATATGATAATGCTCCTCTTCTATTTTTTTTAATGGTTATACATACTGTGTATACATGAAATCTAGAGTGATTTCAATGAAGGCATTCTGAACATCTAAAAATTATGCATTAGCAACCCTAAAATGGTGAATATCCTTTTTTTGGCCTGGGTGATCTCCAGCGAGACAGATATTGATTGAGTTGGGTTTTTTTTTTTAAACTGAGCTCATGGCAGCAAAATCCAGTAAGATGACTGTACTCCCTGCGGTGAAAAGTCTGGCTATACGGAAGGAAAAATACTAAGAAAATTACTTAAAATAAGTGTGTTATTTCCTGCTGCATTAATTATTTGTGTGTGTATTGATTGGCAAGATACATGTACATACCATATTTAAAGGATTTGGCTTATAGAATAGAAGTTTGAAAATAGTCACAAAATGATTTGATGCAAATAAAGAACAATCTGTTTTAATGTCTCTGGGTAATCAATGCAAAGGTTGGTTTTAATGTAGGACAAGAGAAGAAAATGTCTTGATTTGTAATAATACTAACAAATGGATATGTCTCAGGGGTGCTGATATGATTACTATGAACCTAAAGCAAAATTATCTGTATCTCCAGAAAGTGTATGGCAAGACAACTCGTACCTCTCATTTATATGTTTGTCTTCTATGTGGCAAAGTACAGACATGCAGTACTTACTAGATGTAGATATAGAAATATAGTACACTTTCAGATGCATATATATTTTAAAAATATACTAACATCATGGCACATTCATGTTTTCAATAGTGTTTATAGTTTTTGCCTATATGGTTAAACATTCTGTGTCTGTGGATTGAATGTTATAGTTTATATTTTGAATAGTTGCATAGTAAAGCTTTATTTTCAACAACAAAAGTACAACTCTTAAAGGGACACGATAGTCACCAGAATCACTGAAACTTAATGTAGTGTGTCTGGTGTCTATAGCCTGTCCCTGCATTGTTTACATTACTGTCTAGTAACACCTCCATTGACAGTCACTCAGGTGGACACTTGAGGTGCCGCACAGTGTGCAGTACCTACATTCAGTGTCTCAACGCTCTGCATAGAGGCACTGAATGTTTCCCATAGTGATGCTTTGATTCAGTGCATCTCTGAGAAGATGGTGATTGACGCAGCGTGGCATTTTGCCTCACAATAGCCTCCCAGTGCTTTTTTAAGGACTAAAGGGTAAGATCAAAAAGCTTGATTAGCTCAGCCGTGGAGGCGGGGCGAGACGGGCACAGTGTGGGGGGAAAAAAGGGTGCATAAAAACACTTTTCCCGTGCAATCGGAGGAGGGCTGATCACACAGATTGACAGACAAAAAGATGCATACTCACTTGCAGACACATACACACTCACAAATGCGGTTTATCTAGCCTTTCTTAATAATGCTTTCCACTCATCTTGTTACTTTTGTAGCTTGTTCTGCATTATTTATTTTTTATAACACTGGTGCCCAAAACTTCATTCCATATTAAAGGTGGGGTATTATTATTGATATATGAAGAAGCAAAATTATATTTTGATGACATGAGTCAAATACCCCTTTGTATATCTGACAATACCTTACTAGCTTTCGTAATGGCTCAATGACATTGCACACTGTTGCCTGGTTCCTCTATAATTGTTTCATAGCCATTTTCATTTATTGTTATCCCTTATTCAACTTCATTAAAAGCATGTTTCTTCTGCGTTCCTTATTCCACAATGCATGGCTTTATATTTGCCTGTATTGAATCTCATCTGCTAGTTGCCTACCAATTCCCCCAGTTAAGTAAAATCCCTCTGTACCTGTTCCAACTGTAATATCTTTCAGATTTATATTCCTAACACATTAGTGCCCTCTGCCCTCCTCCCCAGCACATAAAGGGTAAAAATAACCTTTAGTCACTTACCCGACTCCTCAGTGCTCCACCGTCATCTGACAGAGGAACCTAATACGCAAGTGCCGCGAGCACATTGGGTAATGTCTTTCTACGGGGCTTATACTGATGCTGGATGTCCTGTCATTTTGTAAAGCCTCTACTTAAGAATTCTATCTTGACAGTTATGCCGCATTTCTTTTCAATCAGTAGTAAGGAGAGGTTATGATGCACATTTAAAGGACCAATATAGTGCCAGGAAAACATACTCGTTTTCCTGGCACTATAGTGCCCTGAGGGTGCCCCCACCCTCAGGGTCCCACTCCCGTGGCGCTGAGGGGGGAGGAAGGGGTTAATCTCCTCCCTCTTCTGACGTCCCTGGCTGAATGCGCATGCGCGGCAAGAGACGCGCGCATTCAGCCAGTCTCATAGGAAAGCATTCTCAATGCTTTCCTATGGACGCTGGCGTCTTCTCACTGTGAAAATCACAGTGAGAAGCGCCTCTAGCAGCTGTCAATGAGACAGCCACTAGAGGCTGGATTAACCCATTTGTAAACATAGCAGTTTCTCTGAAACTGCTATGTTTACAGCAAAAAGGGTTAAACCTAGCTGGACCTGGCACCCAGACCACTATAGTGATCCTTTTAATAAAACAAAACTTAACAATGCAATTTAAACTTTAAATTAATGTTCCTTTTCTTGGCTTAGATCTTTAAATATAACTTTAATTTCGACTTTACCACCTGCTGTCTCCTTACTGCTGAATGGGACCCTCCAGACATCTAAATGTGTAAAGTGTGTCCCCAATATTTTTCATTTAAAAAATATATATAAAATTGGCTTTTTTTTTTAAATTAACCTTGTTACATCCACTGGCTGTCAATCAGACAAGAGGTTCTGTTTTTTCCTGGTTGTTTAACACAGTGGAACTTAAGTTCAGGCAATTACCCAGAGTGCTTGCGATTGGACAGCTACAGTAAGTCTGGGCCGAGTTAGAATACAAATATGTATTCCTAAAGCCCTAGTCACTGTTTAGTTTACTTTTTCTCCATGGTGGTCTCCTTTGTGACAATCTTCTTCTTTGGCTGAGATCGAGATAGGAAAGCATTGGGAGGGTAGTGCGCATGCATGTCAAAGCGTTGCGATGGCCTCTTTGGCGTTTTACTCCTCTATTTCGTCGGAAGAGCCTTTAGGGGCTGTTGCTGTCACAATGCTATCGGCAGACCGACAGTGTTTTCAGCTGCAGGGATAAAATGGCGGCACATTGCACCCATTGAGTCTCTTTGAAGTGGTCTAAATGCCAAGTATTCCTTTAAGTATAGTTTGTAACCTACATCATCACATTCATTCCGTATAGAATCCAGATTTTAGTTCCCGTTTCTACAGTGGTTTTGTTATTCTAGATCTTGTTTTAAACTCAGTGGGTGATGCATGTGCCTTTACTTGTTATTTGTGTCTGCACAGCCTCACCCTGCATTCTCAGTAGTTATGTGGGGATCGCAGCCCTGGAGGTGTGACTGTATACCTAATGAAGCATATGTTCCTTGAAGGCAGCATACTTTCTAAAAATTTAGATTATCCAGAAAAGAGGGCCTTTTTAATATTTTGTCTGAGCTTGAAACCATTTAGTTGGGAGCCAGTTGTTTCTTTTTTTCCTTTCCTGAAAGGAAGTTGTTTTTAACTCCCTATTTAACTCCTTAGTTGCATGCAGCAGTGACCACCCAATCTGTCTTTTTGGGTGATGGACAAGTAACGTGTTGGTGCTTCTCAAGACTGTAGTATCTCATGCTATGGCAAGAATCTCTAATAACCAGTACAGATTTCAATACTGATATCGTAATGTAATGGAGAGGAAAATAAAACATTTATTTAACCCCTTAAGGACACATGACATGTGTGACATGTCATGATTCCCTTTTATTCCAGAAGTTTGGTCCTTAAGGGGTTAAAGGGATACTGAAGGCATTGTTATTGCTTCATCTTTATTGAAAAGATTGTGGTGTCTGGAGTCTGTCCTTCCAACTGTTTTGAGGCTATACAAGAGTTACTAGCAGATCATCCCACCCTGTGCTACTCACGTTGACGAGGAAGCTTTAGAATGAGCAGTAATGAGTAGCTGTGATTGTCTGAGTGTCAGCTGACTGATTACAAAATGTACAAAAAACAAACCCAAAATATAGTGGGATATGGGTGGATTGGCACTGGTTAAAGTGCAGGTAAAGCTACCTCTAGTGTCTGCAGCCACTCATAAAACAATAGGGGGTGCAATGGTAGACACCAACACACAGTGAGTTATGCTTAATCCCAATAAATTATAAATAATCCTCCTGATTAATCTGTAAAACATAAAAGCTAACATTGCATAATATTGTTTTAGCATATTTCGATCAATCACAGAGGTCATTCACAATCTCCAGAGTCACAGAATGGCTAAACATAGGTCAATATATAATCACTATTTAGAAAATATAGTGTGTAAATTTACTTTATATTTTAATATTTTATTAGTGCCATTTTTACAGTTCTGTTTGGACTTTTTTAAAAAGGTTTTTATTCTTTGTTTTTTACTCAATCCACATGGTATACAATAATGGTTGTGAGCACAAGATATGAATGGTGATCAGACGTATACAGAAATTGAGTGGAAGAAAATAGCCCCCGAGTTGAGCTCTGGCTTCTGGTAAAAGGTGGGGCGTTGGATATGAACGTATATAAAAAGAACTTAAAATAAAATATCTGGATAAAATTGCAATAGAAGAAACTATGTGAGTTAGCAAAATATGCGATAGGGTGTTCAATATCCGTTTGGCTCGGAACACGCACACCTTGCGACCGTCTGCTTTAGTAGTTGGACTCCACTCCCTTTGTTTGGGTTTTTTATAGGCTAAAACAGCCTAGCTGTGAATTTAGCTGATTTGACTATTTTTTTTTTTTATTTCAGCAAGTCATCTGTTGTTGCCAATTCAATTTCGTGTTCGTTTAGTGAATAATCCCTAATGTGTGTGTGTTAGGTGAGTAAGGGGTTAGTAAGGTGTGTGTTAGGTGAGTAAGGGGTTAGTAAGGTGTGTGTGTGTGTGTTAAGTGAGTAAGGGGTTAGTTAGGTGTGTGTTAGGTGAGTAAGGAGCTAGTAAGATGTGTGTGTGTGTGTCTCCTATGGAATTTATTTTTGGTACATTTCCTGATAAAAGAGGAGTGGCGGCTTCAAGGAGTGCTGATTTAAAATTGCAAACCAGATCCTAGCATGGGGCTATCTCTGTGTTTAATCAGGAGAGGTTCAGCTGGCATGTGCTCTATCTTTGCAGGAGGGTGTAATGGTCAGACTTTAGGTTGGGTTTTATTTGGAGTTGCAAAGTAGTATTGTTAATCTTCAGAGTATAGATATGTTTTGTATGACTTCCTTATGCTGATACCACTGTGTCTGATAGAAGCGAAGGGATCATATCCTTGTCTTGCTTTCATTAGTAATCTGCTTTGGGAGAGATGTATGCTTGTCTTCCATTCTACTAATTGCTAATGCTAGGAGGGTGAACATATATTATTGTAAAACACTGTGGAAAAAGGTGTTGCTATATAAATGTCGATAATAATAATATTGAGAGTAGTCTCAATGTTCCCTTGCTCCCATGACTTGGTTAATCTGGAGAGAACAGGTGTCAAATTCCAATACTCACTTTTGCCTTTTTTGCCTAAATGGGTACTCAAAGTTCCTTAATCCTTAAAATGTGCTCCCACTGTTAAGAGTCAAAACATTTTAAAGAGGTTAGAAAAAAACCACAAGGGCTTCCAGGGTGCCGATCGGTCTCCCCTTCCACTTAGTGTACCAACATCGTGCACCCCCAAATGTTTTTTGGGGGGGAGGGGAAGGGTATATATAACTAATTTCTACAGATTGTAGCACTTGGGAGCAGGTGTGCTTTTGTGTGTAGAGATGGTGTTTGTGTATAATATTAGCTTTTTAATACAGGGATTTGTATGTAATGTTTGCATTTGGGTGCAGGGTCTGTTTGGATGTAGTGTTGGCTTTTAAATGCAGGTATACATTTGTGTGTAGTATTGGTGTTTTGAAGGGTGTGTATGAGTCTTCTATATAAAGCTGGAGTTTGAAGTCAGGGGTGCTTTCGTATGTAATGTTTGTGTTTACAGGGATATGTCTGCATGTTGTGTTGATGTTTGCACATACACTGTCACATACATACCTACACAGATATACTTACACATTAAAACACAGACGCACACATACACTGGAACATACACACGTCATAAGATTTGCAGCCTGTTGGCATTCATTTTGTCTGCAGTAGGGTGACTTGCTGGGAGTGCGGCTTGCTGATGCTGATCTGTGGAGGGTCTGCAGCGGCTCACTCCCCACTGCTGACTCTCTCCATGCAGCGCAGGGCTTTCTGTCTGGGAGGAAGTGACCTTTAAGAACATGACCAGATACTACAGGGGCCTGGATGTGCTCTTCAAGGGCTGCGGCGCGTGACGTGCCCCTGTTCAGCAATAATACCCATCAAGTGGGCCTAAGTGCATAGGCAACCTGATGGTCGAATGGTGGGGGCCATTTTGGACTTGCAAAATTACAGCGAAACCCCAGTTTTGTTCTCGTGGAACACTAATTGTGAAATGCTGTAGTGGGCATAGAGCTTGAAGCATCACAAACCATTTAAGTCCAGGTACAACTAGTGCATACAGTGCTTTGGAGGATCAGAAATAAACATTGTTTCTGTTTTTTCACCTCCATATGATGATGTTGAATGTGTTCAGTACTTCCCTATGGAAAGCATTTGATTGACAAAGCACAGCATTCACCTTGTGTCCCCAATGGTTTTCTATGAAGAGCATTGGATTGGGCAAAAATTACAATTTAAAAAAAAAACTGGAAGTTGGCAATCTAAACAATGAGCTGACCTTTCTATCTGTGCCATCCTGTGCTTGGAGGTAAATATATCTGTCTTCTAACCATTGCATTCACAATGCTATCATTCACATACATTTTTATAAGTTAAGTGTGTTTTTCTTTGCCTGCCTTCTATTTCAAAGCCATTTTCAGATTCTTTCCTGTGGGGATTTGTGACGGTCTGTGATTTCGCTCCCATCTTCACCCTTTATATTTTATCACCATGTTTGCTCTTAACACATTTTCTCTGAGCTGTTCACACTTTTTGCTTTCCATCAAGTCAGTGTTTTCTTACTGTGAATTTAAATGTTACTCATAATCCAAATGTAACGGTTGATAATGGTCCATTTATCAGATAGATCAGTGGTAGTCAACCTTTTTCTACCTACCACCCACTAATGCATCTTTCTTGATGGAAAAATTTCCTTACCACCCACCAGTTTTCGCGCAAGTGCAGAATATTTTTTAGAAAGGAGGGCATTTAAAAAAATAAATGTACGTACATTTATCTTTTTATTTCTACTTAATGCATGTTTATAATGTTTTTAACTATATTGTTTTCTCATTAAACTTTATAAAGTAAATTGAAATTACCTTTACTAGTGATTAATGAGATACTTGAGGTTGCTGCGCGACTAAATATTTGATATCTGGTTCGATTTTCGTAAGGAACAAACAAAGGTCTCCTCTTTCGGTGATATTCAGACAACTTCTCTGTTTGTGCACACGTACAGACACATACACACAGACACAAGACACACATGCATACAGACACATACACAACACGCATACATATAAAGACACATACACACACAACACATACATACAAAGACAAGAAACACATACATACACACACACACACAAGGCATACATACAAAGACACATACACACAAACACACACACATTATATTTAAGTCACCCTCCTGTTTCCTACCTTTAAGGTGCAGGAGGGTGACCGTCTGTGGTGACTCAGGTGGATGGGAGTCAGAGTTCCGACTCTGACTCCCTGGTCTTCATCCCGCACGGCTCTCAGTGTTAGCTGGGAGGAGTGACGTGCAGTCACTTTCTCCCGGCTCTGTGATGTAATCACAGGGGGCCCAGTCGCGCTGTTAAAGCCCCCAGCGCTGACCGGGCCCCCTCACAATCCACATCCATCGGGTGGCCTTGACAGCATGGGCCACCCGATGGACCCCTTGGACGGCGGCACCGCTGGGGCCGCAGATGGTGATGGCGGTACCCAGTCACAGGGGTACCGCCAGCTCGCGCCCGCCCACCCAATCTCTCCGAATGAGGAAATCCATACCGCCCACCTGGAATCCTGAAACGCCCACTAGTGGGCGGTAGGGACCAGGTTGACGACCCATGAGAGAGATTTTCAAAGCAGCAACAAATATGTAATGAATAAGTCAACTTGTAACTTTCCACATTCTAAGAGCAGGTCAAGTGCAGACTTTCCTTAAAGGAACACTGTTATAAATACAGAAATACAAACATGTTTTTCCAACGTTAGTTTTTTTCTTAACACTTTAAATTGTTGCCTTACAAAAAGGTAACTTAAAGGAACACTATAGTGGCAGAAATACAAACATGTATGCATGTCACAATAGCTGTAATATCACTATTTAGCACTCCTGACACCCTTTAACCCCTTAAGGACCAAACTTCTGGAATAAAAGGGAATCATGACATGTCACACATGTCATGTGTCCTTAAGGGGTTAAGCTAGGTATAAGATGAGTTTACTTACCTTTACTACAGCCCCGTGCCGATTGCCTCTTTGGCTGATATCATCAAATTTGAAGATCTCAGCCAATCCAGCTTTTTCCCATAGGAAAGTATAGAGAGGTTATTGTTCATGAACTGCAAAACGCCACACTTACCAATCAGTATCTTTTCATGGGGAATGTTCACTGTCTCAATGCAGAATATCAGTGCAGCACCACGTCTGAGTGACTGCCACTAGAGGTGTTCCTAGGCTGCAATGTAAACCCTGCCTTTTTTTCTGAAAAGGCAGTGTTTACATTAAAAATCCTGCATGGAGTGACTGTAGACTCCATAACAACTACATTAAGCTGTAGATGTTCTTATGACTATAATGTCCCTTTAAATGATTACTCCAAGTGTCAAAACCACTACAGCTTGTTATAGGGGTTATGATGCCAGGAGCACTTTGGCCCTGTTCCCACTACTGGGGCAAACTGTTAAAGGATCACTATTGGGTCTGGAACACAAACATGTATTCCTGACCCTATAGTGTTAAAACCACCATCTAGCCCCCCTGGGCCCTTCATGCCTCCATAAATATAGCAAAATCTTACTGTATTCAAGCCAGAAGCTGTAGATCTCCATGCTGCTTGTCTAAAAAAAAAAAAACAAGCAGTCTGCTGACAGAAGTGGTAGCCTGATCCAATCACAGTGCTTCCACATAGGATTGGCTGAGACTGACAAAGAGGCAGATCAGGGGCAGAGCCAGCAGGATTCAAACACAGCCCTGGCCAATCAGCATCTCCTCATAGAGATGAACTAAATCAATGAATCTCTGAGGAAGGTTCCGTGTCTAACATGCAGAGGGAGGAGTTACTGAATGTTTGGATGCATTTTAGGCAGATATGACCCAGGAAGGATTTCTAACATCTATCTGAGGAGTGGCCAGTGACGTTATCACTAAGCTGTAATGTAAACACTGCATTTTCTCTGAGAAGACAGTGTTTACAGCAAAAAGCCTGAAGGGAATGATTTCACACACCAGAACAAATTCAATAAACTGTAGTTGTTCTGGTGAATATAGTGTCCCTTTAAGCAACTTACCTGGGTCCCTGCTGGGCTCTAAGACCCTTCCTATGTTTTGTGACACACTTCCAGTTTCTGCAGAGCTGCGGAAGCCGATTAATTTGCTGAGAGCTGACCGTACGCTGCCATTGTATGGCACACTGTGCAAGGAAATATGCACAAAATTAACATTAGCCCTTGTTCCAGGCGAATTATGCCCCAATGAAATTGCCAGAGGTGGAGTTTTAGCTCCTGTACCAGCAGGGTTAAACTCCATATGTGAAGCATATTCTACTTCCACCGAACAGACAGACTACAGACACCATGACCACTTCAAAGCACTGAAGTGGTCATGGTGCTTGGATTACCTCTTTACAAAAGGCTTGCTAACCTTATATTCCATGCCATTCTGTCCATAGGGAAGCATTGGGGGCTACTGTGCATGTCCACAATCGTGAATGCCAAACATCTTGCGGACCACAAGCTGAAGTAGTCTGGGTGCCTGTAGTGTTCCTTTAAGTGAATGTTTATCTTAACAATTTTGGAATGTAGCTTGGGTACAATACATATATAATGAAAACGAGACAGAGGAGTTTGAAAAAAAGTTTATCGAGTACAGTGTTCCTTTAACAGGACTCTGATCGCAAGTTTACATAACTGCCTGCAGATCCCCTAAGTTATAATTGGGAGAATAAAAACAGTTATGTAAAAATAACTATAAACTTAGAATGAAATAAATATATAGTGTGTGTGGTTTTTTTAGGATTTTTTTGTGACTAAGTGGCTACTAACAAGTCATGGGCATACCCAATTCTGAATACCCTGCGTTGTCTGCTTTTGAAAATGGTATGCCATATTAGGGTTAATTCTCATTCCTGGGCTGCTGTACAGTCTCAGAGAAAATTTCTTAAATTTTGTTACTTTTTTTTTTTTTTTAATAAAGATTTTATTTATATTAAATTGTGTTCCATATAGAGAAGTACATTATGGTTGGACAGACATATAGTCAAATTCTAGGTTTTGTAGTATGACTCTATTTACAATACCTAACTTATTGTCACAGCATGGGAGATCATATTTGTAGTATTATTATTATTATTATTATTATTATTATTATGAATTGCTATGCTAGCAGTTGTTGAGAGCTTATGAAAAGCGAGTGATGACTACATGTTACTTATTGAGTGTTACCAAGTCACTTTTGGGATGTGGGACAAGTTATTCTGAGCTGAACTGATGTACCTTTAACTTCCTCCTGCAGTCATATTCTTTGTGTGAATACAATTAAAGATTGTTCCAGGGAAATAGTCACATTACCATTGTGGCTTGCACAGTGCATTAAAGGAACACTATAGGCACCCAGACAATTTCAGCTTAACGAAGTGGTCTGGGTGCCAGGTCCAGCTAGGATTAACCCTTTCTTCTATAAACATAGCAGTTTCAGAGAAACTGCTATGTTTATAATAGGGTTAATCCAGCCTCTAGTGGCTGTCTCGTTGACAGCCACTAGAGGTGCTTCCGCGCTTCTCCTGGAAAAAGAGGTAACTTTAACTCTTCCACCCCCTAGAGCCCGGCGGGAGGGGGGCCCTGAGGGTGGGGAGTCCTAGAGACCCTATAGTGCCAGGAAAACGAGAGTGTTTTCCTGGCACTATAGCGGTTCTTTAATACATTTTTGTTTTTTTTTAACAGTGATACCATGTAACTTTTGCTTGACTGGTGAATTATAATTATGGTCACCCACACATTTTGAAATTCATTTTAATCATGCCAACAGCATCCCAGAGGTAATGTGTTTTTTTTTTTTTACCAGCTGGTGAGGGCTGCACTTTTGCCAAACCTACAATAAAAGCCGCCTCTCTTCATTCCTAACTAGTAGCCTTTGATTTTCCTTTTGCCGTCTTAGTTTGATACCTTGAGAGCTGTATAGACAGGTAAAGACATCCTATTACAGGAAGCTTTAAGGAGTTCCTTTACATAGCATTGTAAGATAGCGATTATTATACATCTGTATGGTTCATTTTAATGAGTCACTATGCACACGTTCCCTGCAAGTAAGAAATTAGCAGACATGTGATCAGGTTGGCTGTCTGTGCCCTTTTCTGGTATCGGTTTTTATTTTGTTTGCAAAGCAGGCAAGTCTCTTTAAATATGCTGTTTGTATGTATTTTTCTTTTAGGTTTAGAGCCTGCTCTCCCTCCCCTTTCCAGGGGCTGGTCCAAGGAATCAGGAAGGAGAGGTTTCAACCCGCACAAGGATGTCTATTCCACCGCCTCCGCCCCCACCGGGCCCTCCCCCACCCCCAACTCTTGCATTGGTAAGCTTAATTTGTCTTTGAATTTGGCCTACGTGAGACTTCTTACAGTATACCAACCTGGGAGATCTTACACTGTGAGCGTCACAGAACTTATGAGCAGGGTGTGGTGCTTCATAGCAGAAACTAATCTTATTAAAACCACTGTTTGGGCATGGTGATAAAGCTATCCCCTGTGCACTCTAAAAGTGATAAGTCATAGTATAAAGTGTTCACAAACCATGTGAATGGCAAGTTCACTTTCATGAACACATATAGATGTGATCTATGCATTGCGCTGGTGAAATGAAAAGCAACTGTACTGTTTAAAAGATGCGAAGATCAGCAGTGTACTGGATGAAATGTAATTCTTTATAAAACATCACTATATGATAGTTTTCAAGTGCAGTTTAACAGCAGAGTATTGCACTGTTATGGCATGGGGTAGGGGAAAAAGTTTGTTTTCCTGGCACTATTGTTTCCCTTTAATGTTGAATTTTTAGAAGCGGTTTCCCATCAATTGTGACCCATTGAATAAATAACACTTAAGCTTACTTAATATGTTCACCTTAAATGAACATTCTCACAAAAAGAATAATCCTGCTGGTTTAGTGAAGTTGTTGGGATTTTCCATATTATACTCAAATATTTATCTCCATTTTATCTTTTTCCCCCCTTTCTTATTTTAAAACTTGTAATAATTGAGGCACATACTAAATTCTAATAATTTGAACATTATAATGTGCATTTTCCAGTACAAGTAGCGGCTCAGCACTTCTGTACTCTTAAAAAGTGCAGTGTCTCATTTAAAGGAGTAACATATCTAATTGTATTGAAATAATATTTATTTGATGTGCTACAAAAATATAAGCCAGTCAAGCATGCAAAGATGTGTAACCCTAGTGTGAACCTGCAAGCTTTAAATTAAAGGGCGGCATATTTGCATTATTGATAAGGAAGCTATCATCCATCCCTGAAGGTTATTTGGGGTGAGAAGGAAATGATTTTCAGGTAAGTATATATTCTTATTTTATAGCCTCAGTGAATACACACACACTCACTAATAGACACTCACTCACTGACAGACACACACACACTCACTCACTAACAGACACACACTCACTCACTAACAGACACTCACTCACTAACAGACACACACACACTCACTAACAGACAGACACACACTCACTCACTAGCAGACACACACTCACTCACTAGCAGACACACACTCACTCACTAGCAGACACACACTCACTCACTAGCAGACACACACTCACTCACTAGCAGACACACACTCACTCACTAGCAGACACACACTCACTCACTAGCAGACACACACTCACTCACTAGCAGACACACACTCACTCACTAGCAGACACACACACACTCACTAACAGACACACACTCACTCACTAGCAGACACACACTCACTCACTAACAGACACACACACTCACTAACAGACACACACACACTCACTAACAGACACACACACACTAACAGACACACACACACTCACTAACAGACACACACACACTCACTAACAGACACACACACACTCACTAACAGACACTCACTAGCAGACACTCACACACTCACTAGCAGACACTCACACACTCACTAGCAGACACTCACACACTCACTAGCAGACACTCACACACTCACTAGCAGACACTCACACACTCACTAGCAGACACTCACACACTCACTAGCAGACACTCACTCACTCACTAGCAGACACTCACATGCTGCTGCTTCTTCCTAGAAACCAGGAAGTGCCCTCTAGTGGCACTGCAAAAAACTGCAATAATTACACTTGTAAAAAGCCACAGCTGAAGAAGACCGCAGCGGTGAATGATAGGAGCGCACCTATATTAGATAGTATGTGTCCCCTCAAAATTTTATTTTATTACACATTGTTCCTATTTTTTTTTTTGTCTGTCTTCAATTCTTGGGAAAGTAGTTGCACAGCTTAAACGAGACGTGCACCCATCATGTTCAGCTTTTTTCACATCTGTTTTTGCTATTGATCCAAAAATAGGCCAAAAACCCCCAGTTTGAAGCACTTTCCAAATAATTAGGGAGTTGGCACCCAGACCACTCCAATGGGCAGAAGTGGTCTGGGTGCCTGGAGTGTCCCTTTAAGGTGAGAATTAGAGATAATTGTGAATGTTTGGAGACATGGTGGCAAAGTGTTTAAAGTCTCTCTTGCTTAAGCATTTTGATACAGAGACAAGGGTGCTTCATGCAGTCCATGCTACCGATAAATTTAAGTTTGTCCCTTTCCCTCATTTAATTTTCTTTGTTTTTACAGGCTAATACTGAGCCCCCTAGGCTGAGCAGAGAGGAGCAGAAAGGTCGTGGGGCACTGCTTAATGAGATCTGTAAAAAGCCACAGCTGAAGAAGACCGCAGCGGTGAATGATAGGAGCGCACCTATATTAGATAGTATGTGCCCCCTCAAAATTTTATTTTATTACACATTGTTCCTATTTTTTTTTTTGTCTGTCTTCAATTCTTGGGAAAGTAGTTGCACAGCTGAAACGAGACGTGCACCCATCATGTTCAGCTTTTTTCACATCTGTTTTTGCTGTTGATCCAAAAGTAGGCCAAAAAACCCCAGTTTGAAGGACTTTCCAAATAATTAGGGAAGAAAAACCCCTCTTTACCCCAGAATGGCAGTCAGATCTCTCCTTTGATCCAGAAGCTACTACCCCACAGTTTAAAAATTATATCCCTGAAGTAGAGCAGGTAAAAGCGCAGTATTGTAATGTTTTGTATGTTTTCGCATAAATGTGAAAATCTGTACCGGTAGAATCTTACATTTCATGGATCATGTTCTCACCAAAGATTTGACATTCACTTTGTATTATCGACAATTTACACTTACTGTTTTCAAACTATCTAGCCTGACTCATGTTATACAATTAAGTGTTTCCCCCCTTAATATTATTAAAAGCTCATATTTTAACTTATTTCCATTTCCTCTGTGTCTGGATTCGTGTTTTCACTGGGTGTTATACTTCCGTCATACAAATCTCTCCTGCATAAAAACAAACAAACCTGTTTGGGAAGCACAGACTTGCTTTTCATAACTGGTTAAAAGTAACCAATAGCTTTATAACTATATCTGTATGGTCACAAAGAACGAGGAAGCATTCTAATTCTGTTTTTACTGATTCTTCAGAACCGAAGGGCGGTGGAGGAGGAGTAGGTGGAGGCGGTTCTGGATTTAGGTCAAATTCTGGAGGGGCCCTGCACCCGATGGGAGGCCTCTTCCAGGGTGGCGTTCCACAATTACGACCAGTTGGAGCCAAGGATAGTTCAGGTTAGAAAGTATTTATTTTGATGCCCTAGCGTGATCTGATATAATGTGATTGACCTGTTCATATACAACAGTTTGTACTTCTTTATGAATTAACCGCACAAGCTTCTTTGCTGGGTCTCTCTCTATCCATCTATCCCAATAGAAAACTGGTTTAGAGGTGTGGTTGCACCCCATATGAAAAATGTCCATCTGGCATAGCCATATAAGATCATTTCATATTCGAGAAGGGCTTGCGGTGGATTATAGCTATGTATGGGAACAAAAGATTTGTAGTGAGAATTGTTAAACGGACCGTTTAATAAATGCGTATCAATATATCCTTCAAGTGTTCTTTTCAAATTTTAAATTCAGAGTCCCCTTTGGAAATACATAACATTTATAAAATACACTTAATTTTATCCAATGCTGTCCCAGTTTCTTTCCAGCAGCTGCAATGCCCGCTGTATCGCAATGCCCGCTGTAAGGTCATCATTCTAATCTATTGTCGTATAGAGTGCTTCTCTGATGATGGGTGGCAATTGCTGCACTCCTAATCAAATGCTTCTCTATGAGAAAGATTATTGAATTATTTGTCCTCGTGCTGGGCATGATGATGCTGAATGTGGAGACCAGGTCTTTGAGGAAATGTTCGAACAGATATAAACATTACCTTTTCTCAGAAATGTAAATTATTACATTTGTCTGATTGCCGGGAAACTAGGCCTTTGCATCAAATCCACTATATCAAGCTGTAGTGGTTTTGGTATTTAATATCACAGACTATATTGTCTTGTATCCCTGAATCTTAAGGGGTCACCCACTTAATTTTCAAGCTTCCTATTTGAAATAATTCTGCTATAGTGGTTTCTTTTGGGGTGTCACATTTTGGCATACCTAAGGTTTCTTGAACATTTGTATTTCCCTCATATGTCATACTAGGTTTTCAAGTCTTCTATTGGCATATTTTAGAGGATAAACACAAATCTAAACTGTATTCCCATTCTATTTTTTAATTTTGCTTTTTTTGTGCACCATTTGTATCTTCCTACTGAAAAATGATTGTGAGTAAACAGCTTGTCGTGACTCCTATTTTAGAATGAAAAGTTGAAATTTTTGCCACTAATTGCCAACTGGTTAAATGTTGCATTTTATAAAGTGCATTTTGTTTGGCACTTGTCTATTTAATTGATATGTATGGTGTGAAAGAACACCAACGCAAATGTAATGGTTAAAGCGGCACGGTTATCCCCCCTTTTCTCCCTCATTTGGCAAAATTAGTATGTCATAAAGATAAATAAAATGTAATTTTACTGAAATTCCAACACAGTCATAAGATATACTGATGCAAAGTATGGAGTACTTTGTCTCAGGATATTTCTTAGACCTGGCACTCTAGACCAGGAGTTCCCAACCCAGTCCTCAGGTCCTTTTTTTTTTGTAAATTTTTTTTTTTTTTCCTTCTTCGATTAAAAACTCCTTAGACACAACTGGATAATGCCTAAATCCTGGGCTGTTAGGAGGTACTTGAGGACTGGGTTGGGAACCACTGCTCTAGACATTGGGCAAAGCTACCATTGTCTAGAAGCGTCAATCTCTAACAGCTGTAGAGACCTCAATACTGAACACTCGCGCATGCGCAAGAGTTCTGCAGTGACATTGGCTCCTGGCAGAGGGCCATCCAGAAGAAGATGCACCAGTGACTGCTGCAAAGATATTGGTTGTGTCTGTGGACCCGCTGGATCCTCTATAGACCTCAATGCTGTACTGTACTTTTTTTTTTTTTTTTTTTATCACACATAAACTGACTTGATTGGTCTATTTTGTATTTTGTAACTTGAAAGCTCTTCAAGAAAAAAATTATATTTTATTATTTTCTTCCTTTATAGTTTAAAGGGACACTATAGTCACCTGAACAACTTTAGCTTAATGAAGCAGTTTTGGTGTATGGAACATGCCCCTGCAGCCTTACTGCTCAATCCTCTGCCATTTAGGAATTAAATCCCTTTGTTTATGAACACTAGTCACACCTCCCTGCATGTGACATGCGCAGCCTTCCATAAGCACTTCCTGTAAAGAGAGCCCTATTTAGGCTTTCTTTATTGCAAGTTCTGTTTAATTAAGATTTTCTTATCCCCTGCTATGTTAATCGCTTGCTAGACCCTGCAAGAGCCTCCTGTATGTGATTAAAGTTCAATTTAGAGATTGAGATACAATTATTTAAGGTAAATTTAGATCTGTTTGAAAGTGAAACCAGTTTTTTTTTTTTTCGTGCAGGCTCTGTCCATCATAGCCAGGGGAGGTGTGGCTAGGGCTGCATAAACCGAAACAAAGTGATTTAACTCCTAAATGACAGTGAATTGAGCAGTGAAATTGCAGGGGAATGATCTATACATTAAACCTGCTTTATTTAGCTAAAGTAATTTAGGCGACTATAGTGTTCCTTTAAGCTTATTTTGTCTTCTCTTGGTTTCAGATGGCCCATCAGGCCGCTCCTTACAGGTCCCAGGCACTCGGTCTCAAGCTCCCCGCCCACCAGTGTCTGTAGGACGCCACCATGATGACTCTGACAGCAGCAGCAACCGATCCTCTCCTCCAGAAATGGGACGAGTGCATCGTCCATCACTTCCTGACCTCACACGTCCCCCTAATTCAACCAGTCCTGGTATGAAGCACAGTTCCTCTGCTCCTCCCCCACCTCCACCTGGTCGTAGACCTGTGGGGGCACCTCCTCCCTCTTTGTCCCCTTCCACCCAGACAGCTAAACCATACAACAGGGAGAAACCTCTACCTCCAACTCCTGTGCATCGGGCACCTGCTGCACCTCCAGTAAAGCCTCCTCCTTCTCCAGTCAGCATACGGACCACTTCCTCCCAGAGCCAGCCACCACCCCCTCCCCCGTACAGACAGCCACCTTCCTCTATAAATGGACCCCCAAGTCCCATCAATGAACCACCAGAACTTCCACAACGACACAACTCACTCCATCGCAGATCAGCTGCTCCTGTGCGCGGGCTGGCTCCCCCTCCACCACCTTCTGCCAACTTATCACCAGGGGGCAACAGACCACCTCCTCCAGCCAGAGAACCACCTGGGAGAGGAGCAGGTAAGACACCATTAATCAAGCATGGCAATGCTGATTTTTAGATCCTATTTTGTTTTAATAAACTATACATCCCCATAACTTGTCAAAATATTGATATAAACAACACTGGTTTTCTTTTTACAGCTCCTCCACCTCCACCACCTTTGCAACGTAATGGGGGTAGGGATGCCCCGCCACCTCCTCCACCTCCCTACAGAATTCATGGTGTAAATGATACTAGCCAAAGCAGGGCCAAACCTCCTCCACCCCCAACTCGGACTCCTTCAGGTCCACCCCCACCACCACCCCCCATCAGGAATGGACACCGGGACTCTGTACCCATGGGGAGGTCATTTGCAGGTGAGATACATACCAGTTCAATGCACTGTGTACGATTGATCTATCTATGCGTTATTCACAAAAGGGAAAGTCGAACTTTATACCACAGTAGTTGAACTGGAAGCATAGCTGATTACCCCCACCCCAATTCAGCTGGTTTTGTCTTAAAAGGGACACCTATGTAGTGGTTCTGGTGTCTATAGCATGTCCCTGCAGCCTCGGCAATATAAAGAAAAAAAGGCATTGTTTACCTTACTACCTAGCTCAAACGGCCATTAGAGGTGCTTCCTAGTCCAGTGCTCTGCATGGAGGCGCTGAATGTTCCTGATAGAGATAATTGATTCAATACATCTCTATAAGGAGGTGCTGATTAGCGCAGCACACTGTTTTTCCGCGCATTAGCCTACCAGTGCTTTTCTATGGAAAAACATTGGATTGGCTGAGATCATAAAGTTTAATAATCTCAGCCATGGAAGTGGAGCCTTTCGCAGCAAGACCGACGACACGTGGGAGAAAAAGTGAGTAAAAACCCTTTTTTTTTTTTTTTTTTGCCTTAATACATGCTAGTTGAGTTTTAATTGATGCAAGGTGGGCCTGGGGCCTAACTAGTTTAACACTACATTGTCAGGAATAAATGTTTGTGTTCCTTTTTAATTCAAAATTCCTGTTTAATTCCCGCTTTAGTCAATAATGATGAATGTTTTGTGTATGAGACAATTTAGCTGATTTCAGAAGCTCACACACACACTGGTAAATATTACTATTGCTTGTGGGGAGCGTTTTTTAAGCCCCAGCTAGTAACATAGGACTATATATAGATATGGCGGCAACATAGATATTTATAAGCAAAAAAGGTTATGGTGGGGGAAAAATTGTGATTGAAAACCCCTTTCACCTGAAGTCTGTGGATAGTTAATACAACGTTAAATAAAAATCTGCACACCAGTCAAGCCATAAGACTTGCTTTTCCCACAGAAATCACAAATCTGCCGTGATGTTACTACCGCAAAGGATTCTGGGTGTGCAGATTTTTGTTTAACATTGTATGGACTAGATATTTATATGTAGCTATAGAGAGATTTATATGGAGAGATATTTATATGGAGATAGAGAGATAAAAAAACACACCTTAAAATTTGAAGATCTTGAAATCTCCAGTAGAGGGAGATGGTGTAATAGTCTTGTGATTATAAGTTGTAAAATATTTTATTTATTTTTTACATTTTTTGTTTAGATGATTAAACAGGTAACTTTTCAATCTTATTTATATTATCTATATAAAAATCCTGATCAATAAGGTCTTAAATAATTGCATGTTTGGTTTAACATTTCAACTTCCATGAATAACTTTGGTCAAACACAGAAAACCTACCTACTGCTACATGGGCACTATTTCCATTTTTGCCCGAAACAAAGGGTTTGAAAGGGAGGTCACCTGACTTTCCATTCAGCTTGGAACAGGCATGTCAATTGTAGCTGCTATAATATGAGGGACTATATAAACAAACAAACAAAAAAAACTGCTGAGCTGGTGGTTTAACACACACTTTGCACTTGTGTTTAGCACCTCTGCCCATCTTGCTATCTATGTAACACATTCTCATAAGCTCTCTGCAAAGTGTCAATAAAAACAGAATAATAGCAGACTGCCATATATGTAAGCAAAAAGACCAGCATGGATATTCAATATAAAACCTAAAAGTAAGCAGTAGAAGTAATACATTTATCTTAAAGTGACCCTGTTCCTTCTCAGTTTCTGGCACAACCTGAAAGTTGCTCTGCTTTGGGTTGTGCCATTCTCCTCCTGTATATTTCACATCCTATGCTAGAATGTCCTGACACAACCAGAGATTACCATGGAGCTTCTGGGCACATTCCAAGCAGATTGCCTCACTTTTAATGTAAGTACATTGGGAGCATGATAAGACAATAACGTGGCCTACTTCTGCGGAGTGAAGATTTGCAAAACTGTCACTTTACGAAGTATTGAGCAAGCCATCAGAAGAAAATCAATGAAAGCTCAAAACTAGGAAATCCAACAAAAATATAGCAACAAAAGAATTCAATTTAAAAATGTTTCATATGCTGTATCTTCCAGGATTTTGCTTGTGCATACCTGGATAACATCGCGATAAATTGTAGTGATGGCATTCTGTGGATTGAATTTTGACTGGCAGTCATAAGAGCAAAATTTTTAAAAATAAATAGATTAAAGAGAAACTATAGTCACCAGAAAAACTACAGCTTATTGTATTTGTTCTGGTAAGTAGAATCATTCCTTTGTTTTTTTTGCAGTAAACACTGCACTCAGAGAAAATACAGTGTTTACATCACAGCCTATGGATACCCCCACTGGGCACTCCTTTGATGGCTTCTACAGGTGCTTCTGGGGCAGTGCTGCACAGTGTACCAGCACTGCCATTCAGTGTCTCTACCCTCTGCATGGATACACTGAACTTTCCTCATTGAGATGCATTGATTCAACACTTGGTATAAATTGTACAATTTAGTCCCCTTGTACCTGTTGGCACACACATCTAAATTAGATAGAAACTTTAATGTTGTCTTCCAATATACATATAATTTAATCACCATTTTTGTTTCTCACTCTTGTAGATGACTTTGAATCAAAATATTCTTTCCACTCAGCCGATGAGTTTCCTTCTCCTGAGGAATACAGGCCTTTCCAGAAAGTCTATCCAAGCAAATCCATCAGAGGTGAGATATGCAAATGCCCAGAAATCGCGTTAGTTGTTTGAAAATCCAATATAGCTTCTGCTAACCCTCTTCCCTGCAATTTCTTGTTCACAGCCAATCGGGGTGCTCCTCCTCTGCCTCCACTTCCAAGGTGAAATAGCTTGCCTGTCTCTGCTGCCAGACACTTCACCACTTACCACGAGCCCCGCCTCCTTTCCATTCTCATTCCTCTGGGGGGACTGCTCCCGCATGAAGATACTTTGTTTTGGAACAAAAGGAGCTGGGATAATACATTATTGCCTGTCTATGCATTCCATGTTCCCATCTCCTACAGAGAAAACCCTCTCCACTTTTTATTGCACGCAACGGGCAATATATGACTTGGACTTCCAGGTCCGACTGGCAAATAAGGCCTACAAAGCTTGTGAATCCATCAGCTAGCGCGGTGTAAAACGCTCTCCTATTTCCCTCTATTAGATATGTATACACATATACACACACACACTTTAATGGATTGCTAATTCTCCAAAGTCCATGGTCTCAAGCCTTCAGAAGAAGAGAATTTTGAAAGACAGACGTCCATTACTAAAGATAGGAGCTATTTTGCATCTTACAGAGTACACTACAGAAAAAGGTGGTTTTGGATTAGTGGAGCACCACCACTGATTACCTGCTCCCTCCTTCTCAATACTAGGTCCAATTAATGCACTTTCCTACTGTTACCTAAAGAGAAGGGACTGACACATTTCAGGGGCTTTGCAGAATGAAGCAACACTCATCTGATTTACAACCTTTCTTACGCATGGTTTAATTTTTGGTGGTTGGGGTGGGTCTGAAACTTTGGACTTTTTTGGTATCATAGAGGTTTTTGAGGTGAAGCACATTTAAAAATACAAACAAGGCTACCCAGGGAGATTATGCAATAGGCATAACGGATGTATTACTCCTATATTTGGCAGATGAATAGTGTGGTGCAAACCAGGAGCCATTTCTGTCAAGGTTTATTGAGTTTGTGTATTTTAATTATGGTGATGGGAACCATCGTGTGAGTCTTTGTCTATGTGGGTAAATGAGAGGAGATGTTCAGTAAGCTGACATGGGTTATTGTTATGCGAAAGTCAAGGTAATCTTAGATTTGTATTTTTTATATATATATATAAAAATATATAATATATTTTTATATATATGTATATATACATGTTTTGTTTCCCATTCGTTCTATTTTTTTTTTTTTCTTCAGTAACATCCCCTAACATTGGAAATTGTATAATCCATGTATTTGTTTAGTCACCTCATTACCATTTTGGTAAGTACCTCTTTCTGAACAGCTTACTTCCCCAAGGCATGTGCACACGTCATATGAAGGCATTTAAAGGAATGTACAAGATTATAAATGAAAACTCATTGACGCCAAATCTTCTATATTGCATGGCTGGTGATAGGGTGATTGACTAGACATCTGACAGAGTCTGCAACATGTGGGGAGTTTTGAGGAATTTATCCACTAAACCAGGGGTTCTTATGCTATTTTAACTGTAAGCCAAATTAATGACATCGCTTGGCAACTCGTTCTTTAATAGGAATATATTTAACAAAATTACTTCACAAAAACTTTGTGCAGTGCTGTTACAGTATGTGAGCATTCACTCAGGTACTCCTCTGTACGGTAGGGCAGTTTTAACCACTGGGGACACAGTGGACTTGGACCACTGCAGTGAAAAAAAACAAAAAACCTAAACTAAAGGAACACTAATGTTTGGGATACAAACCTGTGTTTCTAACGCTAAAGTGTTCTCCTTTTTATTTAGATTCAGGTCAGGCCCTCCACTAAACCTCAATACAAATTGGAGGGGAGGGGGGAGCATTCCTATTGGAAGCGCTGCACTCCTATTGGAAGTTAGCTGTGGGAACAGTTTGGCCTTGTTCTCACATTGGAAGCACCTATACTTGTTTGTCAGGTAGACTGTTACTAATGGCCTATTTAAACCTGCAATGTAAGAAATACTGTGTCTTACAAATGGCAATCCTTCACATTGCGGGGAGGGGGGTGGGGGGGAAACAAAAGGACCACTACACCCACACCATTTCCTTAAGACGAAGTGGTCTGGGTTCCTTTAAAATTAGAACAAATGGTTTGGAAGAGTATCCCAGCTTGAATATTGTTGACCTATGTTTTGAAAATTTCCCAGACCCTTTATACAAGTTGTAAGTGAATGGCCAGTGCTTGTACAGTGCATCCTGCACAAATGAAGGAGTAGGCAGTGTTTTGTTAAATCAAAAAACTCCATTGTTTAGTTGTTTTTTTTTTTTTTTTATTATATATTCCTTTGAAATGCAAAATGTACATTTTGGTCCATGTTAACTTTTCTAGTAGCATGATGTCCCTCCTCTGCAACGCTAAACACTAAAATATGTCCTTTACACTTAACAATAATTTTATTTTTTTTAATCTATTACCTGGCAAACAATCTCTGATATTACACTTTGCACCTTATATGCTTATATATTCAGGCTTGTGTGAAAGCTGGGGGGGTTTGGGTTTGTTTGAAGTGCTCATCTAGCAATTAGGGATAGGCACCTTCAGAACTCCAGATGTTTTGCATTTTGGCTGTACGAGCATTGTGGTAGATGTAGTCCACAACATCTGGTGTGTAGAAGGTTGCCTACCCCTGATTCTAGATAATACAGAGAGCATTTAGATTGTAATGTTATATTAACAAAGTCTGGAAATATCACTACACACGAACCCCATCGTTTTCAGTTTTTCGTTTGAAACCGAAATTCCTAAAACCTGTCTGTCTGTCTGGGGGGGTGCATCTGTTGTGAGTATCGCTGGTGAACAGGAGATCGGCCGCTCTGTGTGGCCAGCCTTAGATTGGGTGTGAGATCCATAATTGCTGTTGGGGTGGTGTTCATGAGTGAATCTGAGCTGCAGCATGTTTATGGTTATAAGGGGCGGTCCCCATACCCTTTGACGCTGCTTATTTGTCTTTATACACTACTCCAAGGATGTCCATCCAGTAGTCCGAGATTTGTCTGCCTTCACGGCATTAATTTATAGCTAGTTAACGAACTTTTCTCTGGATAACTGCAGATCTTACTTATTCTGTTTACACATTAGGGCCAGTGACATTCCTTGGTTTTATCTCAATCTGACTTTTAAAATGCAGCTAAACTTTCAAAATTAAAACAAATCCTCCTTAAGGCAAACAGAATATGTCTGTATAGTGCTTCTCAAATGCTGAAGAAACATGCAATACTTAACTTTGTTCTACTCTCTTATAATTTGAAGATTAATTCCTCCGTTTCATTCTGAAGTTATTACACTAATTTGAAAGTGGCAAACACTTGCTTTCAGACATGAAACGGTACAGAGGCTTTAAACTATTCACTTAAAAACAATGAGGGAGAACCTTCCAATTTCAGGTTGAGGGCAGAGAGAAAATGGTATGTATCTTACAAATTACATGCCTGTGTTTTCACCATTTTAGTATGGAGTAAAATAGATATGTTAAATGGCACGTTAATGATCAGATCATTAATGGAAAGATCCTGCTTTTTAACCACTTAAGGACACATGACGTGTGACATGTCATGATTCCCTTTTATTCCAGAAGTTTGGTCCTTAAGGGGTTAATCCGTTCCGGACAATGGGTTAGTCGGTTCATTTGTTTATTTCTTGACAGATCATGAAGAGGCGAAATAGTGTCAGAAAACCCTTAACACTAAACCAGTAGGACACTCCATAGTGCAATAGAATCTTTAAGGACCAGCCTGTTTGAAGCGTAAACTGATTATACTTCTGCTATTGACACTTGTTTCCAATGATGCTAACCAAGACAAAAGGTATGTGATGGGCTCCTACCCTAAACAGCAGACGTGAGCAGGTTAGCCATTACTCACATGGCAAGTTGTTTATTTTGAATGCATAAAGGAAGACTTGAACGTCTTGGATTTATTCTCGATGGACACCCTTGCACTATGTTCATTTTTAAAGTTGGGTTAAAGCAAGGCATTGTTGTGTCAAAAACCTCCCTGCATCAGGCTTTCTCCAGTATGGTAAAGTCAGTGCCACATCCCACAATGCTCTACAAACTATATATTGGAATGCACAAAACATTGCTCTACAAGGGTTCAGAATAGGTAAGCAATGCCTTGCTTCCCTGCATGAATGGGTTAAACATTGATCATTTTGGTACTATTATTTTCTAATGTATATTTTACTCTAAAATAATCTGAAGAACTTCTAGTTACTGATGTCTATTTTGTATGTTGTAAAATAGGACTATGAGAAAATGGTTAAAAAAACAAAAACAAACTAAAATATAAATATATCTATATATATATATCTAACTGTGCAGTCGTTTTCTGTGTATTGAAAGGTTTTGGGAAAAGTTCTGTTCTCTATTAAATGAAAAAAAAAAATGGGGGGGGGGGAGAGAGGGAGGACTATTCATTGAAATGTTTTACCCTTCTTCCAACAGATTTTCAATTCCTTATTATTAATCTCTTCTGGGATTAATTTGGCTAATTCCAAGATTGACCACATCTAAAACTACCTAATGCCCTTAACTGGTCTCCACCCGTCCAGTTCTTCATATAGAAAATGTAGAATTACAAGACCTATAGACTTAGATTAGGAGCCTTAGAAGAATGAAAGAACAGAATAAACCAAGAAATAGAGATGAGTGTACAAATTTAAAAGAAAATAGTACCCCCTTATAAATAAAATTAAAAATTAAAAAAAAAAAATCATTTGGGACTTCTAAAACCAAGTACACCTCAGTAAGGACAAGAAATAGAAGTGGCTATAATTTCAAGCCTAGCTCTCAATCATTCAAAGAACATGTTGAGATATAAAAATTAGTGCTCTATATGAATATAATTTAAGAGAGTTGTGATAAATATGTTAGGCAACAAGTGAACAGTCACTGTTTCAATGGGCAAGCAAAAAGATCTGAGTGAGGGCCAAATGGTGATTGCTAGACGACTGGTCAGAGCATCTCCAAAACTGCAAGTCTTGTGTGGTGTTCCCGTTATGCAGTGGTTAGTACCTATGAAATATGGTATATCGACCAAAGACTAAAAATTAAGGCAGCGTTATCACACTGCCATATAGGAGTTATATCACTTTTATGTCCATTCAGCCCTAACCAGACCTCCGCTGTCTGTAACTCAGCCTGCATGAAAAAAAATTTCATTTTCAATCCGATGTTTACTTTAAAAGTTTTAATAGTCTGCTCTCTAAATTGAACTTTAATCACACACACAAAAGGCTCCTGTAAGGTCTAGCACGCTGTTAACTGTGTAGGACATATAAAATTCTTCATTAAAAAGACTACAATAAAGAAAGTATAAACATTAGATTTCACTTTACAGGGCGTGTTTAGGAAGTCTATGCACATTACATTCACAGTGATTAGGGCTTCATACACAGGGAAAACCTTTTAAAAAAAGATTTGGTGGGGCTTCTCAAGTCTGTCACGATAAATAGCCTTTTATCATGGTCCCTACTGTCCATCTATACCTGTAAAGGCTGGAAACAACTGCGGGAGACCGAAAGCAACACACAGATGCCTTTCTTTTTGCCACCAGGCGCAAAAAATAGGGAAGCATGGGGTAAGGCTGAGGGCATTAAAGCACGCTGTTGCGCCTGGTGGGACCCCGACTGGCTAATACCAAAACCCACACAAGAACAGTAAAAGTAGCCAGAAGCCAAGGGACACAGAACTTACAGGTGCCCGCTGCAAAAGAATCCCACGACATAGGCACATTGCTCCATTGTACACCCCATCAGGATCAAGAGGGAGACTGTGACCCTGAGACAGACCTCCACACATCAGCGACTCATATCACAGCTCACCCTGCAGGTTTGATACCTTCTACTAAGCAGGACATTGACAATCTATTTGCACCTTATGCTTGCGAGATCCATCACTCGGGGTCTTCAAGAAGCGGGAATACGGTACTGATGGACTGCAACTAAATTTCTCACGGCAACTCAAGATGGCAAACTGCTCAATGCCACCTCTTTTCTGTCCACACTTGAATTGGGTGATAGACCACAAGCTCATGAGAAACAAGCCTCCTCCAGCCCTTGGAATGTGGATGCTGTAAAACTCCTTCACCCCAAGACGCTGACAAGTCTCCGTGACTTGATGGACTAAGCAAAGACCCCTCACTATATTCAGTTCTATTGCTTCTTTTATGTTTTATATTTTCATTGTTGGCAATGTTTGCTACATATGCTTATGATTCCAAATGTATGATTCCAGATTCCAGTCTGAGCTCGACTTAGCTCATTCTTTGGATTTCCAAAGGTAAACCCAATACCTTCCCCATTGCAACCCCCATAGGTTAGGAAATCAGCTACGTCTTGCAGTCGTGTAAAAAAAAAAAAAAAAAAAAAAGCTATGTATTTTTGTTAAGCAGTATTTTTTTTAATTAAACATCTCAAGATGCCATATAAAGGGTCACGAAGATATTTGCAACGATAAGTCAAGCGTACAGTGAAGGTTGACATTATTGGGGTGATAATATTGCAGTCGTCAGAGATTTTTATGGTCCATCATTCATAACAATTTTGTCAGGTGATGAATACTCATTCAGTAGGAAAGTATGGAGATAAAAGCACAGAAATGAGTATAGTTCTGCGTAGTCACACATTAAAAATTATGGGTGTTACAATTAAGTTGGTGTGAGTGGTCCTATCGAGTAGGGCTACCTGACCTGTAGTCATCAGCCTATAAAATCTTTTTTTTATAGTTTATTTTCTTAATCTATACTCTATTAACGTGTATTTGCTAGCTAAAGCGTGTCACCATTGCAAGTAGACTATGCAGGGCAAGGTTTCAATTATTCTTTTTAAAAAAAATTAATTAAAATAGCGAGATACTATTGTTTATGCTGAGATTGTAATCGATGTTTGCAAATATGTTGTATACTATTGTGATGTCACACATCACCTGCAAAAATAAAGAATTAGAAAAGAAACTTTACTCCTAAATGGCAGAGAATTGCGCATTGAGACTGCAATGGCATGATCTATACACGTTGTTTTGGTAACTATAGTGTCTCTTTAATACATTTTATACTAATACTATTTCATGGTTTACATCGGTGATATAGGATTACTGCTGTTGTTCTTTTGTGTGGTTTTGTGTAAGTTCTTATTAAAGGACCACTATAGTGCCAGGAAAACATACTCGTTTTCCTGGCACTATAGTGCCCTGAGGGTGCCCCCACCCTCAGGGTCCCCCTCCCGCCCGGCTCTGGAAGGGGGGAAGGGGTAAAAACTTACCTTTTTCCAGCGCTGGGCGAGAGCTCCTCCTCCTCTCCTCCGGCTGGAATGCGCGCTGCAAGAGCTGCGCGATTCAGTTGGTCTCATAGGAAAGCATTTACAATGCTTTCCTATAGACGCTGGAGTGCGTCTCACTGTGAAAATCACAGAGCAGCAAGCTTAAGGCTGTCAAATGAGACAGCACTAGAGGTTTTGGAAACTGCTATAATTATGAAAAAATGGGTTAACCCTAGAAGGACCTGGCACCCAGACCACTTCATTAAGCTGAAGTGGTCTGGGTGCCTAGAGTGGTCCTTTAATAGTTTGTGTGTAGACATGTGCACTTCGTTACAGTCCGAATTAAAATTTGGGCGAATTTCAGGCAATTCGGACATTCGGGTGCTTCCGAATGTCCGAATAGTTAAATTGTCGAAGTGCCGAAATTACCGAATTTCCGAAGTGTTGTAGTGCCTAAGAGCTAATATAATTACCCAGTGGAAGAATGAAGAATGGTACATTGTATACAATTTTAAATAAAAAGTATACAAACATAGCCAGGATTCAGCTGTAAGTATTTGCAACACTTACAACAATCAAGTAACACATATTCATATAAAATGTAAGGAACTTGGCCAGTCAATGTAATCACAGGAATGAATAAGTAGACAACTCCCTAATTCCCACGGTATTAGAGAGCTATCTACTAAAAGGCTGAAAGACCTGAACTGGTCTTTCAGCCAAATTTACTAATACTAAGTAAAGATTACTTAGTATTAGTAAATTTGACCCCTACTCGCTATACTGCGAGTAGGGGCATTTCTATTAAACAGTGAGCAGCCTGTGGCCCCCAGCCGTCTCTCAAGGGTGGAGGGGCAATAGGTCCCCCCCATTATTTTACGTTAAGGCCCCACCCGCCGCTCGGCTCACTGTTAAAAAACTGAGCCCTCATACGCGGCACCTGAGCGGCAGGTGGGGGCCCTAAAGTAAAAAAAGGGGGGGGGGGGAAGACCTATTGTTTACGAGCAGCGGGTGGGGGCCCTAACGTAAAATAATGGGGGGGGGGACCTATTGCTACCCCGGGTCCCCACCCTTGAGAGGCGGCTGGGGGCCACAGGCTGCTCACTGTTTAATAGACATGCCCCTACTCACGGTATAGCGAGTAGGGGCAAAACTTACTAATACTAAGTAATCTTTACTTAGTATTAGTAAATTCGGCTAAAAGACCAATTTAGGTCTTTCAGCATCTTGGTAGATAGCTCCCTAATACCGTGGGAATTCCCGAAATGCCGGAGTTCTGAAGTGTCGAATTTTGGAATGTTGAACCGAGCCGAATATTTCCCCCATGCACATGCCTATTTGTGTGGTTGGTGCCTGCTGGCTTAGGTTATCTACACTGAACAAAATTATAAAAGCAACACTTTTGTTTTTGCCCCCATTTCTCATGTACACAAAAGGCCTATTTCTCTCAAATATTGTTCACAAATCTGTCTAAATCTGGGTTAGTAAGCACTTCTCCTTTGCTGAGATAATCCATAACCTCACAGGTGTGGCATATCAAGATGCTGATTAAACCATGATTATTGCACAGGTGTGCCTTAGGCTGGCCACAATAAAAGGTCACTCTATCACTACTGGGGGTCCAGTAGTGAATAAAGAACTCTGTTGCAACGGCACAGCACTTTCTTAAAATCACGATTCTCAGAGGCACCTGAAGGTGAAAACAGGGCCCTGATTGGTGAGTGGTGGCATTGGAGTATTTGAGAGAAAAAAGGTACAAGGCAATGGTATCCGAGAGGGAGCAGACATGAAACATGGACAGGTGGTCCTAAGGTCAGGGTCGGCAGCATGAAAGCAAAGTCAGGAGCAATCCATGCTTTTTGCACCATTGGAATAAATCCTTTTTTGGTCAATATTTATTTTATTTGAACATACTAATACAATATAGGCGTGTGAATGCCAGAACAGCAATATCACACTTCTCAATAACAGACATAAAAGAAGCGCGTAGTAGAGGAACAACAAGGTGTACCACCCAGCTCTGGTAGCAAATTGGAGAAACTCCAACGAAGTAGCAGACCATAATTAGTGCCTACACCTAGCGTATGCCAATGCAGGTAGCTGATAAAAATATTAATAAGTATAGAAGACATAACCAAGGAAAAACAAATGGGAACATATCACTACAATATTCATCCAACTGAGATATATCAAGTAGTATGATGTCTCAACACCACGTGGAACGATGGTCGTGGCATCTGACATCTTAGAGGTATCTTGGTTTGTAGTGTCGGTATCTGTGATACCATGACAACTCTTTGTGAGTTTATGGGAGATATCAGGGTGGAGACCGGGTCCAAGGGGGAGGTGCATGAACATGCTCGGAGTTCTATCTGCGCCGGTTCAGGAGAGCAGCCGTCCCTCCTTCCCACAGTGGAAGCCAGGCCTCATTTGAGCTTTGCTTAAAGATTGAATTAGGAGACCAGCGGTCACGCTCCCAGACTGGTCTGTCGGTTTGGGAGTCAAGTAGTAAGCAGTATGCGTGTAGATTATAGCTGGTTGAGCCCAAGAATTCACATTATACAGCGCATCTCAGGGAGCTCTTCAGAGACACGTCTAGACGCCATGATAGTTAGGCCCCGCCCTCTGGAAGAAATCCTTTTAATGATGTTAATACTCCACTCAAATCACTGAAGTGGTCATGGTGGTTGGAGTAACCCTTTAATTTCAATTTTTCACACATCTGTTTTGGCTGTTTATCCAAAATCCTACTTTGAAGCAATTGACACTTTTTCCACAAAATGGGGGAAATATTTTCTTTGACTCTAAAATGGCAAGGAGATTTCACCACATTTTAACTACTGCATCCTTAAGTATTTAATTTCTACAAAAAATAACTTGGATATTAAATTGGTACAGAATTTGATAAACCACCCCCTTTAAACAACAATTCCAAGTTCCGTAACCACTACAATATTTTGTAGTAGTTGTGGTGCCAAGACTACCCTGGCACCTACCCTACCGACGTAAGGAGTCAAACCATTGTAGTACGATTTGGTTTCTTAAATGGGGTCTTCCAGATACCATTTCCAGGCTCCAATACAGCTTCCTGCTAGTTTAATGTAGCTGTAGTGGAGGTAGGGAGCAGTGCCTGGGTGGCCCCGGTTCTAAAACAATCTGACTACATTCAATGGAGGGGTACCAGGACACGTTGTGGTATAGTGAGTTTGATACCTGGAGTTTTCCTTTTTTAAAGATAATTTTACATTTATTTGAATGCACAATTTTATTTACAGAAATTAAGACGACTTTGGCTACATTTAAAGGACCACTATAGTGCCAGGAAAACATACTCGTTTTCCTGGCACTATAGTGCCCTGAGGGTGTCCCCACCCTCAGGGACCCCCTCCCGCCCGGCTCTGGAAGGGGGAAATGGGTAAAAACTTACCTTTTTCCAGAGCTGGGCGGGGAGCTCTCCTTCTCTCCGCCCCGTCGGCTGAATGCGCACGCGCGGCAAGAGCTGCGCGCGAATTCAGCCGGTCGCATAGGAAAGCATTATCAATGCTTTCCTATGGACGCTGGCGTGCTCTCACTGTGAAAATCACAGTCAGAAGCACGCAAGCGCCTCTAGCGGCTGTCAATGAGACAGCCACTAGAGGCTTTGGGGGAAGGCTTAACCCATTGATAAACATAGCGGTTTCTCTGAAACTGCTATGTTTATAAAACAATGGGTTAACCCTAGCTGGACCTGGCACCCAGACCACTTCATTAAGCTGAAGTGGTCTGGGTGCCTAGAGTGATCCTTTAAGTACAAATCTACAACATTGTTGTAATGCATAAAATCACATAGAAGACATCTGATCTGGAGAGATAGGTGAATGGGAAAAGTGAAATTGAGGGGGCAGGGTGGCCCACAGGCTGGTCCTCCTGAATAGCAAGAAATCTTGCACTCACAGAGTCATCCCATAAATTCCAAATGGAGTGTAATTTTCAGACCTTTCCATTATCATGTGCTGAATTCTACATCTTTATTGTTCTTACTCTAAAAAATCTTTTATTATAAGCAGAATCTCCTGTAAGTCTAAACGGGTGACTACTTATCATTTGTACAGTCTTTTTAATGAACAGCTTACCAGAAAAGTGTTTGTGCTGGTTCTGTATATATATGAATAATTGTTTTTTATCCACTAGGTGCAAGATTAACTATATCTCACAAAGAAAACCTAAAGAGCAACACGTGTAATGTAAATTGCCAACTTAACCCCTTAAGGACCAAACTTCTGGAATAAAAGGGAATCATGACATGTCACACATGTCGTGTGTCCTTAAGGGGTTAAAAGCACATTGCTCAATGTGTGGGTACCTGGAGTGTTTCCCCCACCCTCTTATTCCCTTGCTGATAAATTATATTTTCTGCAAGTGTCATTGAACGCACATGCGCTGCTCATAGGTTTAATGCTGAGTTCTCAAACATGACGTATACTCACAGAACTGAATTCAAATACCTAATTGCAGAATTTAATCCAAATTAGTGGAGTCCCTTTCAGATCTTTGTCTATGCTGACTATTTTAATTTAGTCTTTGTAGTTGGATCTTCATTTTCCCATAAATCACAGCTTGGTGCATAAATACTTCTGATGTTAGTGTAAAAAATAAAATAAAACATATAGCTGTTTTAATAAAAGTTTATTGGTAAATATATACATTTTAAAAAACATTTTCTTGTAAAAAAAAAAGGACAATTTAGGAAGGGACAATTTTATTTATTGAGAAAAAAAACATTTTCCACAAGTTTATGCAATGGACAGGTGACACCATGCTGATTAAATGGTAGATTTTGTTAACTACAGAGAGGTAGATTGCATGTCACTAAAGCCTGGCCGCCCCTGATTTAAATCAATAAACACAAAAAAAAAAGCCCCTTTTAATTTGCATACAATTAAAAGGCTGAGCTCCGTCTATGAATGTGAATACTAAATGTATTTTTTTCTTAGTTAAGCTAACCACTCCTGGTTGAACATTGGATTTCTCAGACCTGTGGCTTTAATGTTGTGTCTCGTTGTGTTATTTTTCCTGTAGAAAACTGGACTTTATAATAATTCCAGCCTCAGCTATGGTGGAGGATATATTATTAAGACTGTAACCCCCCCCCCCCATATTTTTTGGGGTTCTTACACTGAAGCCTGATGGCCAGTCTACCCCCTTTTGCCAGAGGAGCCACCAGCCTACGGACAAATTGACGGCTTGGGTGCCACATTTGTCTGCTGTTGAAAGTGGCTTCAGCGCGGGCGGCATGGATGCTGTGATTTCTCTGTACTGATTGCTCAGCTCCCTCGCACACCCTGTGCTGATGCTGGGAGCCGGAATGTGAAGTCACCCCAGCCATTACATTAGTACTGCGAAATCTCCGCAGCAACGCCACTGGATCCAAGCGGTGAGGATCCACTGCATCTCCCTTTCAAATTCACAAAATGGCGGCTGCGTAGACCTCGCTGTAAATAAATAATTATTAAGCGCTTGTGTATGAATGTTCACGTGTGACTCTGTGCGCATATGAATGTTGTTATTATTTGGTATTAATAGAGTGCCAACATATTCCGCAGCCCTGTACAATAGAGGGGATACAAATAATAAACACATAGTGATACAAAATAAATTGATGAACCTGTGTGAGTAATTTCTCTAATAAAAGGGGGCTACACATTGAGATACAAATAAACTTGTGCAGTTGTGATGGTGGTGGAGCAATATACATTCCCGCCCCAGGTACTGCGTGACATAAGTTCGCGACTGCAAAATACAAAGCAAGGCTCACATATATTTACTAAAATAGCTGGAAACAATATTAAATATACCAGAGGACAGGGCTTTATTAAATAATAATTATTATTATTTTTTTTTTAAAACAACAAACACTGAATGGACACAGAAATTACTAAAATCATGAACTTTGTATATGATTTTGGTACTTTATGTGTAGTCAGGGTTTACTATGCTAGTAGCCAGGCCTTTAAGGTTACTAGCCACTGCAAGCCAGCAAGCCAGGATAGAATGTTAGCTTCCCCCCAAACTTCATTACCACAACACTGCAGCGTCATCACCAGAGGCGGCGCCTGATTGGCCAGAGTCAGTACAGCACAGCTTACCGTAGTGCTTTGCATACTTTTGTTGCTCAGCCAATCAGCGCTGAGATCCGGCCCGGTCCCGGTGTTCTGCAGCCAATGAGCGGGCTTGGCGCGAGTTTCCGAGCGCGCGCTGGGTCTCCGTGTGTTGGTTTTGGCGCGCTGTGGTCAGTCTGCAGACGGAGCTCGGTGAGGGAGGACTTGCCACACATTACAGTCAACGTTACTGCCAACATACACCACTCGTCACGGTAAGTACACGGCGGCATTAACCTCCTCTCTCTCTCCGCCGAGCGCGATACCGGCCCGGACTGTGACTGGGCTCTGTCCTACTGACCGAGTATGACACAGCTTAACCCATAGGGAATTATCAGCTACTGCATCCATTGCAAAACTGGGACTAAGCTGTGTAAATATTATATTATACCCCCCATATTACTCTCTGCAAAGAGCACCCTGGGGGGTTGGTAGTTTGGGGACTGTGAGGGCCCCCTGGGGGGTTGGTAGTTTGGGGACTGTGAGGGCCCCCTGGGGGGTTGGTAGTTTGGGGGCTGTGAGGGCCCCCTGGGGGGTTGGTAGTTTGGGGGCTGTGAGGGCCCCCTGGGGGGTTGGTAGTTTGGTGACTGTGAGGGCCCCCTGGGGGGGTTGGTAGTTTGGGGGCTGTGAGGGCGCCCTGGGGGGTTGGTAGTTTGGGCTGTGAGGGCCCCTTGGTAGGGGGGCTGTGAGGGCCCCCTGGGGGGTTGGTAGTTTGGGGACTGTGAGGGCCCCCTGGGGGGTCGGTAGTTTGGGGACTGTGGGGGCGCCCTGGGGGGTCGGTAGTTTGGGGACTGTGAGGGCGCCCTGGGGGGTCGGTAGTTTGGTGACTGTGAGGGCCCCCTGGGGGGTTGGTAGTTTGGGGGCTGTGAGGGCCCCCTGGGGGTTGGTAGTTTGGGGGCTGTGAGGGCCCCCTGGGGGGGGTAGTTTGGTGACTGTGAGGGCCCCCTGGGGGGGTTGGTAGTTTGGGGGCTGTGAGGGCGCCCTGGGGGGTTGGTAGTTTGGGGACTGTGAGGGCCCCCTGGGGGGTTGGTAGTTTGGGGACTGTGAGGGCCCCCTGGGGGGTTGGTAGTTTGGGGGCTGTGAGGGCCCCCTGGGGGGTTGGTAGTTTGGGGGCTGTGAGGGCCCCCTGGGGGGTTGGTAGTTTGGGGGCTGTGAGGGCCCCCTGGGGGGTTGGTAGTTTGGGGGCTGTGAGGGCGCCCTGGGGGGTTGGTAGTTTGGGGGCTGTGAGGGCGCCCTGGGGGGTTGGTAGTTTGGGGGCTGTGAGGGCCCCCTGGGGGGTTGGTAGTTTGGGGGCTGTGAGGGCCCCCTGGGGGGTTGGTAGTTTGGGGGCTGTGAGGGCCCCCTGGGGGGTTGGTAGTTTGGGGACTGTTACTTCCTGTGGAGTGCTAAAGGTGCTCTAAGTGCGGGTCTTGCATAGAGAATTAACCCTGCTTTGTGTAACTAACAGTCTGATCGAGTCTGCAAAATATGCTAGATGTCTACTGAAAGACCATTATCTAGTGATGCAGTGTTTCTCAATCCAGTCGTCACGGCCCTGCAACAGTCCAGGTTTTGTCAGTATCTCCATTGGAATAGATAGGGGAAACATACATTCTGGATTGTTGGTGGGCAATGAGAACTGGTTTGGGAGCCACTGTATTAATGAGTATAACACTATTTATGGATGTTTTATACAAGGTTAGGTATGTTGTGTGTGTGTATGCTTGTATATTACACACTCCCAAAAAAAAAATCTACATTCAGTTTTATACTTGATTCTCACATCCAAACCAGGTTTTTGTGAACAATTTCCACCCCCTACTGTTTAAAATGCAATGTAACTTTATTAAATATATTGGTGACCACTAAAAAAAATGTCTCTATCTCAGATGTTTTTTTTATTAGAAAGTCCCATTATTCTGAGACTGTTGGATTGCGTTTTGATCCACATCTGACTGTAATGTTTGTGTGTTGGTATATATGTAAATAAGCCATCTTAAAAACTAATGGCTTTTGGATTTTAATACAAGGGTGAGTTGATTTAATTCCTTTCATGGGTGATGCGGTTTCTGCTGACCAGCAAAGAAAGATCACGTGTATATGTAATGCAACATTTATATTACATCCCCATTTATATACACACACATACCCTCTCCCTATCCTAAAAGCTCAATAATTATTTTTTTTAATTGCTGAGAACACAGCTCTTCGTGATGGCTTCTTTCAGTAACTTTATTTTGCGAACGTAATTCAAGTAAAACAGTTTTTGTGGCTATTTCAGCATGGTAGTGTCGACCTTCCCAATGGAAGTGAATTGGTTAATGTCATGTAGACTGGTTTTTATCTCTCTTGATTAAATTCATTAACCTGCATCCTGCCTGCCTGTCTTGTTCATTAGGTTACAACTGCTCCCCATTGATGATTTAATCTTGAGCTTCCCTGCAGCTCATTAGTGTTAATAGGATGGTTGGGCTCATTAGTGTACTCTGTGAGCTTGAGGCTTGTCTTAGCACAACAGAGGAATGTTGGTGTTCTGCATGTCTGTGAAAGTGTCCCTGTCTCTCCCCCCTCCTCCCCCCCAAAATAAGTGTACACTATTTTAGAACACAGATTTGTCACATTTGAGATGTGCATCGGTATAGTTATGATCTTTTTGGGGTTTTAGATCGTATCAAATTGACAACTGCTGATCTGTCAAGTGCTTCTCAGTTTGGTTTTTCTAAACAAATGCCAGAAGGAAAAGCCCTTTCCACCTACATACCCTGATATCCGTTTGAATAAGAAAGATGCCCTCCAAATACACTGTTAAATGTTTTAGTTCTATAACATTATCTGATTCATGGTGAAAAGTAACCCTGTGTAATTAGCTATTCAATTGGCTCTGTTACTTATGAGTATTTTATAGAGTTGTAATCTATATGAAATACTGACACTGACTACATTGAATTTTTAATCCAATTCCAAATGGCAACAGCCTTGAGGAACGGCTTTGGCTAAGTATGACTACCTTCCTCTGCACCTTGCGGCTGCCACACTTCAAGCAGAAATGTCCTTATACACAAGCACACACTGATCAGACACAAGATTAAAACCTAATATTGTGTCTATCTGTTGTGCTGCCAAAACAGCTCTGATGTATCGCAGCATGGACTCCACAAGAACTGGCACCAAGACACTAGCAGCAGATCCTTTAAGTCTTGCAAGGTGGGACCTCCATGAATCAGATTTGTTCCCGCACAACCCACAGATGCTAAATTTGATTAAGATCTGGGGAATTGTGAGGTCAAATCAACACCTTGAACTTTGTCATGTTCCTCAAACCATTTCTGAACAGTTTTTTTTTTTTGTGTGTATTATCCTGCAGAAAGGTCATTGCCATCAAGGGGTAGACCTAGTCTGCAACAATCTCTAGTTAGGTGGTACATATCAAAGTAGCATCCACATGAATGCCAGGAGCCAAGGTTTCCTAGCAGCACATTGCCCAGAGCATAACACTGCCTTCCTAGATCAGACAACATTGTTTCATTGCTCCATGGTCCAGTTCTGACACGTCCTCACTGAAGGCACTTTTGGCGGTTGACATGGGTCATCATGGGCACTCTGACCAGCCTGCAGCTATGCAGCACCATACACCAAAAACTCTGCACTGTGTGTTCTGACACATTTTTGGCATGGCCTGCATTGTTTTTCATACATTTGAGCTACAAGACCATTTGGGTTGATCCTTGCTCCCGTGTGTATTGGTGAACCATGGGTGTCCATGACCCTGACGCTAGTTCTTTGGCTGACTGTTCACTTGCTGTCTGATATATCCCACCCCTTGACAGCAATATATAATCAGTGTTCTCCACTTTGCGCCTCAGTGGTTTTAATTACTATATCTCACTCTTTTTTTTTTATTTTTTATTTTTTATTGAAGTGCTACAAAGTATTTTGTTTTTGAGAAGATTAATAATGAATGTTTCAGGTAGCGAAGTAGAATGTGTAAGTACATAAAGTATGCTGTCACTGCTAAAAAAAAGTCCTCAGACTTGACGTTCTATCAACAGCCAATTTCTCAATCTATTCGCCCTTGTTTATTTTGAACATGAAGTGCCTGCGTGTGCACAAGGATACTACATGCAATTTTTTATATATCTATATCAATATAGATATAGAAATAAGATGTATAATATATTCAATAATAACTTGCATACACGGATGTTGTACTGTTCTGTGTAATATGTCTTCTGCGCTGTCATTACCAAACCAGGAGATGGCAGAGTTCTCTAACCTACTACTAATAATGCTTTAAACTCCTATGAAAGCTCCAAATTTCTAATAAGCAGCTATGAAAAATAGTGACTCTAAAATAAAAAAAACTGAGCTTTCTCCAAGTAACTGTAATAAAACTCTCTAGAGTGAGAAATATTTGCAGAGGGGGGAAAAAAGCATGTGAGATTCTGCCAATATATAATGTGAATGCTTAAATTTAAACTGTTTCTAATATAACCATTGTTTATCCCTTTTTCATCTGTATTTACTGCATAGCTTAAAGGGACACTCCATTTAAAAAATGGTGGTTGGGGGAGGGTGTGAAATGGTCCTTTAATCATCCTAGTAATTTTAATAAGTTGAGGTAGTCATGAGTTTAACATTGTTTTATCAAGAAAGAAGTCAAGAAATTTTTTCTGTTTTTGTATGTTGCATTTCACAGCCATGCCAAGCACCAGGTCAAAGACTCAAACCTGTATTGAGTACCCAAAGAAGAAGAATGCGAGGTCACAAACCCGGGATAAGGCACAAGGGAAGGGCATTGTGGACCCTGGAAGCTTTGTGGGAAATTGTATTTCTCCTGTCTCAAAGGCCCTTCCCTTGAGTCCCAGAAAGAGGCTTGGTAAGGATTTCTCCCCTTTCTATTGCATCATAATTTTTAAATGGTTTATATATTTATTTATAAAGTGGAATCCACTACAAATGTTGAACACCACACAGTAGGGACCATAATATGTTTTTACATTACAATAAGATGTGTGCATAGAGAAATGCAGAATATAAATTACAATATAACCAGATTTTCTACTTTATAAGTAAACAATAGCAATAGAATAAAGTGGCATAAACCATTTAAAGACATGGATATTGTGTTTTCTGATGGCGAAAAATATAAATTGGGTAAATGGCATATAGCAACTAACACTATATTACGTTTAAAATAATTTTAATCTCTAACATCTCTTCGCAGGTGAAGATAATCTTTGCAACATCCGTCCTCTATCTCACTGCTCTCCTCCCAAGTTAAGTCGCAATGAGAATGGGATAGCTAGTCCTGCCAAAGGGAGACGTTTGCTGTTTAATGAAAACCAAGCTTTAGAAGCACATACTTCTCCTTTGAAGGAGCAAAATTCCAAAATCTCTTCTCCTCTTAGAAGGGAACAAGAAACACCAACCAATGCAAATCACCGTAACCTGCAAGAGCGCAAGAGTGTGTGCACGAGACTTTTTAAGCAAGAGGGTAAGTGACACTAATCTTTTTGGGGATGTATCTAAGAAACATTTTAGTAAAGTTTGTCAACTTGTCCGTACCGGGTGTGACCGGATTCTCCTACTCCCCAGTGCTCCGCCTTCATTGCATGAGTACATACTGCATGTTCACGCCAATCAATATTTGGGTAAAGGGAACGTCTCCAGAGGGTGTAGGCTTATTGTTGGATTTCGTTTTTGTAAACTGCTTGAAAATGGTAGGTTCACAACTGAGTGGAGGGAAAGCTGAACTGAATATTTAACTTCCTGTGCAGGCTCTTGTTACCAGCAAGCCAAACATGCTCTGAACACAGCGTTACCAGAGCGTCTCCTGGCCAGAGAGAAAGAGACAACCATCATTCAGAACTTCTTGAAGAAACATGTGTCGTGTGGGAAGCCTGGGAGTTTGTACATTTCTGGAGCTCCAGGAACTGGCAAAACAGCCTGCCTAAACAAACTGCTGCAAGAGAACCAGGTACAATGTAATCCACACTCCAAAGTGGGAGCTAGCACACGTTGGGAAAATTTTATAATAGTTGTTTTCATTAATGACAGTGAATGTAAAAATGTGGTAAAATTTGGGCAGACTACATGGGCCGAATGGTTCTTATCTGCCGTCACATTCTGTTTCTATGGATTTAGGACTGACAGAATATTATCTGCTTTTACTGTCTGAACAAATCCTGAAACTTGACATGGGATGGGGTTGCTCTTTTGGCTGGCTAAATTAGTGTTATATGATGCACTGTTGCAGTCCGTAGAAAGGCTTCAAGGGTTGTTTTGTGCTGTATTACTTAATGTAACCTGCACCAGACCTCACCTTGATACATTGCAGCAGATGCACAATATTTGCAATGCTATGCATTTATGTATGCTGTATTGGAAATTGTGGAAGGACCTTAGTGTGTCTATTTAAGCAGCCCGTTGAAGATCTGTGCTTACAAAATTTGCAATAACACTTTTGTCTCATGTTTATTTGTTAGGCTTGTCACCCTACATGTAAAATGACTCTATTTATTTTATTGGGGTGAGATGGGGCATATTGTTATGACAAATAACTTATGTATGTTTTTGCACTTTTAAAAAATATATATTTTTACAATTTTACCTCTAATGCATTCTGCTTTTTCTGTCCATTTTCCAGGATTTAAAACACTGCAAGACTGTGTACATCAACTGCATGTCCCTGCACAGCTCCCAGGCAGTCTTTCCAGCTATAGCAGAAGAAATTTCAGGAGAAGCGAAAAATTCTACAGGAAAGGAAATCAGAAATCTAGAAAAGCTGGTGACCTCAAAGGGACCCATCATGTATGTACATATTCAGAATTTCCTTTGCAAACTTTATTTAAATTTGTGCAAAAATAGCATATTGTGCTATGTAAATCAGAGCTTTAACTTTTCAGACATCTATATAGCTGAGGGCATAAAGATATTAATAGGAATCAGAATGCAGTGCAATAGGGAGTTGGAATATGCATTATGCTTGTTAGATTCCTGCTTGGCTTTCGTATGAAATTTTTTTTCTGATTATTTTTTTTGCTGCTTTTCCCTTCATGTAGTGTCCTTGTGTTGGATGAGATGGATCAGCTGGACAGCAAAGGTCAAGATGTTCTCTATACCGTGTTTGAGTGGCCATGGCTTCCTAACTCTAGGATGGTCTTGATTGGTAGGTACAACAGACTCAGATTATTCTACCCTTGTTGCAGTCTATTTTGTCTATGGTCTGTCTGAGCGGAGAGTAATAAGCTGCGTGGTATGCGGGTTGATTTTTGTGACTTTGTAGGGTTTATTGTATCTTAGTGTCCTCATGTTCTAGACCGCTAACAGGGCATTTATGTGCCTTGACGTGAAAGGTGTAAGCATCAAGGACATAGAACGTAAAACGCCCCCTAATTACCTTTACTTTCCTTCAGTTTTTACACTCAAAGCCTTCGTATACTTATGGAGACTTCTGTTCTTCTCTTTGAAATGTTTTATGATTTGCCAACAAATTTTATTTGGCTCCCTATTAACTCTATTTTGGCCTAATTTGGGGTCTTATGTACTGCTACAGGTGTTTTCTGGGTTTTATATTGCACAACGGTAATGGGGCAGGGTTCGCTCCAAACTTAATGTCCAGTTGGACATGATGGTTACATGTCCAGTTGTGAAGATGCTTACCAAACGTGTGAGAATTAATATGAAGGAAAATAACTTCTGGTAAATTGTTTTCTGTATAGGCATTGCAAATGCTCTGGATTTAACAGACAGAATCCTGCCAAGGCTTCAGGCCCATCCTCACTGCAGGCCCCAGTTGTTGAATTTTTCCCCATATACCAAGGACCAGATTGCTACAATCCTGCAGGACAGACTGGCACAGGTAAGGAATCCCCTTCCATTCAAATCTTTCCCCACACCTTGCTTAGTGAGCTTCTGTGGCTAGTTTCAAGGAACAGATGACAAAATTATTGCAGATGTCCTCACCTACCTTATTTCTGTTTGCAGGTCTCAGGTGATCAAGTTCTTGATAATGCAGCAATTCAGTTTTGTGCTCGAAAAGTGTCAGCTGTTTCTGGAGATGCCCGCAAGGCACTGGATATCTGCAGGTGATTACTGATGTCACACATTGCTTTGAAGTCTTAAATAAAATGCATTTTTATTTATCACAAAAGTTTCAAGTGTAGGAACACTGATACAAAGCCACTGGTGTAAGGGGAATGCATCGGACAACTTGCAACCTCACACACTCCTATTTATTTTGCATAGGTTCCCATTGAATTGATGTAGCACTATACCTAGCCATATTTCTACAGCTGTACAATTCATAGTTTCTAAAATGATTTCTCTGTAGCTCATGCTTGTGACATGCAAGCTAGCGTACTCTAGAGTTTGTAATCTAGAAAACAAACAACAAAGTTTGTTCTAGAGCTGCATGGTTGGCATTTAGTGGTGCCGCAATGGTTCTCCCTTTTAATTTATGGAGTGTTACACTATTGCCATGTGGGATACATGCAGATTTAGAATAGAAAAGGGGTGTAATGTCATCTTCAATTAAAATCAGAGTGCCACTAATGTACCTGATATTTATACATTTCTATTTGGTTTTTCCACACTTGTAGGAGAGCAGTAGAAATTGTGGAATCGGATGTGAGGAGCCAGACCGTCCTGAAGCCTCTGTCTGAATGTAAGAACATGGTTATCTCCATATTTTAGCTCTTAGTTTTTTCTTTTTACCCCTCTGGAGAAATAAGAGGAATTGTTTTTGGTGGTTTTTTTTTTTTCCCTCTTCTTGTTCTGGGATAGGATTTTGTGTGGGTTTATTTTCCCCTAGTTTCTGACTTTTCTCTGGCCTATAGTGCACACTCCTTTCACAAATATTTTGTAAGTTTTAAAAAGATCTATATCAATTGGGGTGATATTAGTTGTTTTAGTCCTAATTCATTTTCTAAGCTGCTTGAAACTTATTTTAAAGAATACCTATTCATATTATCGTGTTATCCAAATTGTCATTATACAGCGATACATGGTTTTTCATACATAATGTGAGTCTTGCAAGTAGCATGCAGACTTGCTTGAGCTTGGAAAATATGGAAGCGCCTAATCTGACTTCATACCTTTTTGCTTATAGCTCTTTGTGTTTAATTTGGCTGATATCGGCTATTTAGGAGAATGAAAGGACCATTCTGCATATGCAGCCCTATGAGTTTAATCTTTGGTTATTTGACAACTTATAACAGGATACCTTTTGGCAATGAGACTTTTATTTTTGCTAAAATTATAACCATTGCTTTTGTATTCTAAGTTACTGTTGGATGGGAAGCAATTGTTTACTAAAAGCACTACAGTGGTTTTATTAACCCCTTAAAACCGGAGGACGTACAATTACGCCCTCTAATAGGCGGCTCTAAACGCCGCCGGGCGTAATTGTACGCCCTCCGGTTTTTGTTAACTTACCCGGTCGCCGGCGGTCCCACGCCGGCGATCGCGGTTGGGGGGACTCCCAGGGAGCCCCCACGCGGCACTCGTCCATCCTCGTCGAAGGGCCATGTGAGAGTGGGGTCCTAGCGAGGACCCCACAATCACATGGCCGGGGATAGCTGGCTTCTGTATTGCCGGCAGGGGGGCTGCCTGTAATGACAGGTGGTCCCCCTGCTGGCTGAAAATAAAATAAAAATAAGTTAATGGTGTAAAAAAAAATAATTATATATACTTAGATCATATATATATATTATATATATATGATATATATATATATATATATATATATATATTTTATAATATATATATAATATATACATACACACACATACATATACATACACCGTCTAGGTGTATTTTACTATTAATATATATATAATTATATATATTAATATCAAATTACACGTAGACTGATACTGATTAAATATATATATAATTATTGTTATATATATATTTATATATAATATAAAAAAAATAAAAATGTAAATACGTTAAAAAATAAAATTAAAAAAATAATTAAAAATAAATAATTAAAAAATATATTTAGATGTGTGTTATTTCGTTCTAACTGTTTTGTGAAATTAATATATATATATCAAAATACACGTAGAACGAAATAATATATATCTATATACATAAATATATACGTATATATCACTATATATACCTATATATAAATAAAAATATTTTAAAAAAAATTATATAGATATATACATATATATACACATATACATATATAAAACAAGAGGGGGTTGGCTGCACTCACCTTAACATGCATAAATGGGGGTGCTGCTGGGGGCCAAATAATACAATACACAAGATCCAGCGCACTCACCTATCCACTAAACAGCAACTTCAAAGTTGAAAGATTTTATTAGTGTTTTTTTAAAAACACCTAATCTAGGCAAAAATAATGGGGGTTTAGTTACATTATATGATCATACATTGCATAAGCCTGCCACAACGTCAATGTACCCCATCTTTGGCAGGTCCTACACTAACAGCCTAATGTCTGCTCTTATGAGATTAACCTACTTGGGGAAAAAAATTTCATCTGGGGCTCTCTGCAGTACAAGGCTAAATAGGGCCCTGGGATGAGGCACCTGTGACAGGGAGGGGTGCAAAACCAAGGAGTTGGCTAGACTCCCAAATATATATAAAACAAGAGGGGGTTGGCTGCACTCACCTTAACATGCATAAATGGGGGTGCTGCTGGGGGCCAAATAATACAATACACAAGATCCAGCGCACTCACCTATCCACTAAACAGCAACTTCAAAGTTGAAAGATTTTACATATACATATATTAATTCTACATATATATTTATGTAATATTTTTACATAATTAGGTATCTTAATTAATTACAATTAGCAGGACCTGCCTGACAACCTATGCCAAAAGTAAAGGGAATTTAATTTGCTAGCACTATATTTAACCCTATAACTTTCCAAGACACCATAAAACCTGTACATGGGGGTACTGTTCTACTCGGGAGACTTCGCTGAACACAAATATTAGTGTTTCAAAACAGTAAAATGTATTACAACGATGATATCGCCAGTAAAAGTGAAGTTTTTTGCATTTTTCACGCACAAACAGCACTTACACGGACATATTATTGCTGTGATACTTTTTACTGTTTTGAAACACAAATATTTGTGTTCAGCGAAGTCTCCCGAGTACAACAGTACCCCTCATGTACAGGTTTTATGGTGTTTTCAAAAGTTACAGCGTCAAATATAAGGCTTGCGTTTCATTTTTTTCACATTAAAATTCGCCAGATTGGTTACGTTGCCTTTGAGACCCTATGGTAGCCCAAGAATGAAAATTACCCCTATGATGGCATACCATTTGCAATAGTAGACAACCCAAGGTATTGCAAACAGGGTATGTCCAGTCTTTTTTAGTAGCCACTTAGTCACAAACACTGGCCAAAATTGGCATTTTTTGCATTTTTCACACAAACAGATACTAACGCTAACTTTGGCCAGTGTTTGTGACCAAATGGCTACTAAAAAAGACTGGACATACCCCATTTGCAATACCTTGGGTTGTCTACTATTGCAAATGGTATGCTATTATGGGTGTAAATTTCATTCCTGGGCTACTATACAGTCTCAAAGGCAACGTAACCAATCTGGCGAATTTCAATTTCAAATGTAATGTGCTATATTTGACCCTGTAACTTCCCAAAACGCCATAAAACCTGTACATAGGGGGTACTGTCTTACACGTGAGACTTTACTGAATATAAATATGTGTATTTTATTGCAGTAAAAGCAAACAGTATTATGACATTGACCGTTAAAATGTCATGTAGAACTAAAAAAATCCAAAAAACGTATTTTCTCCCATTTTTTTCATATTAAATTATGTTTCATAGCTAAATATTTGATATTAAATGAAAGCCCTGTTTCCCCTGAATAAAATGATATATAATAAGGGTGGGTGCATTTACTATGAAAGAGGTGTATTACGGTTGGACAGACATGTAGCGCAAATGCCAGGTTTTGTTTACATTTTGTTTTGTTCACAATGTGTACATTTGGCTCCGTCCTTAAGGGGTTAAGTTTAGCATTGCATAATTTTCATTTTTTACAAATATTCGAAACTACTTTGTGTAAATATTGACTAATGATATCTGGTTAATGCAATTGTTTCCAATGTGTATTAAACTTCTTCCTGTTTCTTTTACTTGCTCTCCCAGGCCTGTCCCCTAAAAAAGCTATGTGTCCTGTCCCAAAGAAGGTCAGCTTGCCCCACATCTCCCGTGTTATTTCAGATGTATATGGTGACAAAATGGTTGCTAATGGGGGATCAGCTGAAACATTTCCACTGCAACAGAAACTGGTAGTGTGTGCGCTTCTGCTAATGACACAACATAGCAAGATTAAAGAGGTTACTCTGGGCAAGGTATGTTGGATTCTGTCTGAACACGGCACTCATTAAAGTAGAATAGGTTTATTTAAACAGCCAAGCCACTGACCCTAACCTAATTATTTTTTTTTCCATTTTATAGCTGCACGAGGCTTATAGTAAGGTGTGTCGCAAGCAACAAATGCCAGCAGTGGGCCAATCTGAATGCCTGTCCCTTTGCCAACTCCTGGAAACTAGAGGAATTTTGGGTCTAAAGAAAGCCAAAGAGACGCGACTTACAAAGGTATTATAAACTTTTTTTTTGCTTGAGGTGATATCAGTTTGTTATAATGTTGATCAGCACTTATCCACGCACTCTGTAACCATATTGTTTAACTCCCTTCAGTACCAATGACTGTTCAGGAACGTCATCTGAAACCTCCCCTTGAGGACCGATGACAGTCCTAAACAGTCATAACGGAAATATGGGTAGGGGGGGGAGGGGGTACTGTTTTACTCAGACTTTGCTGAACACATTTGTTTCGAATCAGTAAAACCTATCACAACGATGAAAGTGAACGTGATGGTTTTGCATTTTTCACACACAAATGGCACTTTCACTGATATCATTGTGATACGGTTTACTGTTTTGAAACACTAATATTTGTATTCAGCCAAGTCTCCAAAGTATAACAGTACTCCCCATGTACAGGTTTTTTGTTTTTTTTTCCATTGAAATTTGCCAGATTGGTTGTTTCCTTTTGAGACCATATGGTAGCCCAGAAATGAGAATTACCCCCATGGCATCCCATTTGCAAAAGACAACACAAGGTAATGCAAATGGGGTATGTTCAGTCTTGTTTAGTAGCCACCTAGTCAAACACTGGCCAAAGTTAGCGTTTAATTGTTTTTTGTTTTTTTTAAACAAACAAATATAAATGCTAACTTTGGCCAGTGTTTGTGACTAAGTGGCTACTAAAAAAGACTGGACATACCCCATATTGAATACCCTTGGTTATCTACTTCAAAAAATATGTACATGTGAGGTGTGATTCAGAGATTTATGACAGATAACAGTGTTACAATGTCACTATTGATAAATTTTAAAAATCTATATTTTGAAACTGCAATTATTTGGCCCTATAACTTGCAAAAAAGCATGTTAACAATGGGTGTTTTTAAACCCAGGATAAATTTTTGAATCTATTTAGCAGTTTTTTTCATTAGCTTTTGTAGATGAGAGATTTTTTTCAAGTAAAAGTCAAACTTTTTTACTCTTCAATATTTCACCATATTAAAAAAAAATTAAATGTTTTTTAAAGTAAATTAGATGACATGATACAAAAAATAGTATGTAAAGAAAGCCCTTCTTGTCCTGAAAAAAGAAATATAATGTGTATGGGAACCGTAAAAGAGCGGAAAATTACAGCTAAACACAAACACCACAAAAGTGGTAAAACAGCCCTGGTCCTTAACGTACATCATGGCCAAAACAGTCCGGTCCTCATGGGGTTAAACTCTTCTCAATACTGAGTAACTTTTTGTTTCTTTATGCAGGTATCTCTGAAGATCGAGGAGAAAGATGTTGAGCACGCATTCAAAGATAAAGCCTTAATCGGAAATGTTTTACATGCAGGTCTTTAAATGTCACATCCAACCTTGAATTGAAGAGGTTGCTGTAAATTTTATGTAATGTCTTAACCATTTTTTACACTTTTTTTAAAAAGCCCCTTCTCTGAAAGCAACTTGTATTAAATGCTGTGACGACCATGTATTCCTCTGATGGGGCACTCATGTAATGTTGGCTCACATGACAAACTGTCTATTTAATAGCATGTTTTCATATCAGACCATATTGTGTATGTGTATATACTTTTTAATGACAGAGAAATTGGGCAACTCATGCAATGCTGCTGCGTATAGTGTTTCATTTTAAGGTTATTTAAATTTGCTACAAGCCATAGCAGATGATATTTTGGTATCTGTAAGGTACGGTTTAGATTTTTAAAATCAGAGTTTTTATGTACTCTAAAATCTTTTATTCAATCCAAACCTCTTTTAATAAACATGAGATTCGGATATCGCTGTGTTGGAGTTTTTGTTCTTCTTTCTAAAGCGAACAGTTGATTTTGTTAGGTTAATTGAGTGAATGACACTGAAGCTATGGCTCTCGTTTGGTATGTTTAATTTGCCAGTTATCTGGCAAAACTGTCCCAGACAGGGAAAATGTCTAGTAATTTTTCAACTGTGCTATTCCTCTTCTGAGCAGTCATACCATACTTTGTAGGAGTCTTCTCTCTAAACAATTGTAGTCCTTGGATCAAGAACAAAGTAGGTAGGTTGCAGCAGTCCATGTAATAATCCACTAATGTGTAGGGTCTGCTGTGTGATGGTATAGAATGCCGATACTTGCAGTGACAAGTCAGTGTAGCATAGAATTTTTTTTTATTTTTTTTTGTTACTAGGCAGAATTCACATATGTGGGTCTTATAACTGTCCTCAGCCACTGTAGATAAAGGATAAAAGATCTGTTACAAACTATTTAGATCTGTTTAGTACCGCTCCCTGCCTCCTCTGTCAAAGCTAGAAGCTCTGCCTGAGTTAAGCCCAACTGTGTAGGAGTTTACCTGATTCACCTGAGAGCAATCAGGTGGCACTCTCATCCAACAAGCTATCCCTGCACCGAAGGGTGTGGCTTAGGAAAGCATATGTAAACATTCAAACAGTTATAAAACTGCTTACAATGGGGGCTGCCGGGACACTCCTGGCAACATAACTATTACAGTAAGCGGTTTTTAACACCCTGCTTTTTCTTGCACATACATATAAGATGTATATATTTTACATAGGCATATTCGAAGCAGTACAGGGCCATAGGGATTTCCACCTAGCTTAGACATTTAAACTTTAAAGGACCACCTATAGGCACCCAGACAACTTCAGCTCAATGAAGTGGTCTGGGTGCCAGGTCCCTCTAGTTTTAACCCTGCAGCTGAAAACATAGCCATTTCAGAGAAACTGCTGTTTACACAGAGGGTTAATCCAGCTTCTAGTGGCGGTCTCACTGACAGCCGCTAGAGGCGCTTTCACGATTCTCACTGCGAAAACCACAGTGAGAAGACGCGGACTCCCATAGGGAAAGGATTGAGTAATGCTTTCCTATGGGGGGGGTTTGAATGCGCGCATTCGGTGCTGATGTCTGCAGGAGGAGAGTTCCCCAGTGCTGGAGAAAGGTAAGTGGCTGAAGGGTCTTTAACCCCTTCAGCCCAGCGGGTGTGGGGGACTGAAGGACTACATAGTGCCAGGAAAACTAGATTGTTTTCCTGGCACTATAGTGGTCCTTTAATTCTTCCTACTTTAGTATAAATGCAGGAAACTTCAGTTCTCTCCCTGTCCACAGCAGGTGCTGTTGCAGTGTGATTTCAGCATTTTTCTCTCCACATTTAGACCGAGGAGGCCATTTAATCCCTGGCAGTAACATATTGCAACCAGTTCTCACACCAGCTCTCCAGCACACACACTGACCTTTTTATGGTACATAACACTATTCTTACCTGTTAAGCAATCTAAAGTATTTACATTACATTATCCATCCAAAAAAAGCTTTCATCATTAAGCATTTAAAAACATGTAAAAAAAAAAAAAAGTTTACTATTTATACTTTTTAAATAAAAAAAAAGTAACAGATATGAAGTGTCAATGTAAAGTGTAAGTGCAGACATTCCTATATGGAGATGATGAAAAATACCACTGTGAATAAGACCTTACAAACCGTGTCAACATATATCGACAGATTCCGGCAGAAGAATAGCAAAAGTCCTCTCGAACCCAATGTGAGTTTGCAAACAAAATGAAGTATTAAGACAAGAATAACAGGAGAAGGGTTTGGTTGGGGGCAGGGATGCAAGAAGAGCAGGAGATAAATGAATCTCTAACAATTAGGCAAATTTGTGGGCAGCGCATGTTTACAAGGGGGGCAGTGTCAGGAAAGCCGGTTAGGGTGGATTATTGGATTGAGGGTGTGGCAATTAGCTCTAAGCCAGTGGGCCTAGAGAACATCCACTGAACCCAGTAGAACCATGTAGGTACCGCATATTAGTGCAGTAAGTTATGAGTACAGTGCCCCTATCCCCTTCAAAGATTTAAGACTAGTGTTTTAAATGAATTACTGTCTCTTTAAATATGCACTTTATGCTAGCATACATTGCTTGAATATATGGAAAAGATTTTGATGTCAATACTATTTTCTATGATACATTATAACTCCTTTCTAGTTTTTGATGTTTTGGCTGTTTGTTTAGGCTTCTATATGTTTATATATAATTTTATTTCCAATTTTTTTTTTAAGTTATATATTTGTATTAATATGATAAATTAAGATAAAAAAATCAATTTTATATTCTCAAGATTATAACATGAATGTATCTTAAGAATTCATACTTTTGTATTTTATAATTCATATTGTTTTATTTGATAATATAATTGTATACACAAGTGATAACACTGCATCAGCCATATGTAAATAAGGCATTCTGGGACAACCAATATGGACTCAAGATCTTGCCCTTATATGCCCATCTCCAACATGGAGCCATCAGCACGTCCTGAGGAAGCCGTAAACGGCGAAACGCGTTGATGTAACAGGTGCAAACTTACAAACCTACGACGACAAACGGAGCAATTTGAACCTGTCAGAGACGTGGCGAAATCACCGCCAGCATCAACAGTAAAACTTCAATCCGCTTGTGGAGACGCTTGCAGCCCACCCATATTGAGCTTGATCAGTGAGCAACGGCGTACACCGTAATTACTCACCACCTGTTCTAGTAAGAGGCAGAGCTTTTCACTATTTTATATATTTAATTTTTGTTAATAAATTGTAAACTTTGCATTTTCTATCTTTGAAGCAACTTTGCATTATCCATCTTTGAAGGATCATTGTATACTTATACACTATACCTACTATATCATCTATATAGATCTATGTGTATAGGGTGATGGATGTCTAGATTGATTCTGTATGTGATAATTATATGATCATCATTTATGCACCAGTAGAGTGATCGTGTAGAAATATCTTGAATCTGCACCATTTTAAATTTTTTTTAAAATTCTTTTTCATGTTCCATGCATCAAAAGCCACCTATTGGAGGATACACTGAATCCGTTTGTAAATATTCAAATTATCTCATTTAATATTGCTCCACTTATTATACTATTATTCTATGTTGGTGAATTGGGAGTGCACCTAAGTGTCTAGCAATTAGATACTGAGGTATTATAGGAGTGTCATTTATCTAAATAATATTGTCTAGCACCGAAACTCTTTATTACCATTGGCATATAGCTTCCCTTCTAAATGCCTGATTCCAATGGTATTCCAGAAGATCTAAGACAATGCAGATATGGTGGTAATTATTCCCGTCTGGCTTTGCAGGAGTTGGTTCTCCACTCTGAAGAATCTGTCAAAGGATCATTGAACTATTCAGATTCAAAAAAGACCTTTTACTTCTACAGACACAGATAACCTCCAAATTAACTGCCTGAAAACTGAGAAGCAGATATCAGCAAGATGATTGAATTCAGAAGTTGTTAGCTGCCAAACGTGATTCAGCTAACAAAGTATATTCCAGGATATGGAGAAGATTTAATTCCTGCTGTAAAAGCAACAACATTGGACCAATTTCGGCACCTATCCTCCACTTTGGGCACCTGAGTTTCTCCAAAGGTCTTCCTACTTTTTGCCAAAATCCTCAATTATTTATTTTTTCATTCTCTAGATGTCAAAAGATTTCTCCAGGTTTATCTAGATAGAAACGAGGATCTCAGGAAATCTGAACATTTATTCGTCCTTTAGCAAGGCCAAAAAAAATAGGAAAATGGCATCCAAAATTTTTTCAACTGGATAAAAAAAAAAAAAAAAACATATCTGGCTTATAATACTTCAGTTCCTCCTTTAAAAGTGAAAGCTCATTGTATGACCCCAGTCTATACTTCTTGGGCTAAGAAGAGAGGTTAGGCCGCCATGTGTTGGTTCATTCTTTTGCTAAACAGGTTGGATGTTCTGGTCTCTGATGATTCCAGTTTTGGGCTCAAGGTGTTGCAGGCAGATGTTAAATGAAGATCTGGCCCATCCATTGGATTGCTTGTTTTATTTCCATGCTCATGTACAGCCTCTAATCTGCCTGGGGAACAAAATCAAATCTCAAATTAAAGGATCACTATAGGGTCAGGAACACAAGCATGTATTCCTGACCCTATAGTGTTAAAACCATCATCTAGCATCCTTGGGCTCCTTATGCCTCCATAAATATAGCAAAATCTTACTTGTATTCAAGCCTGAAGCTGTAACTCTGCATGCTGTTTGCCACAGAAAAACAAGCTGTCTGCTGACATCATCAGAAGTGGTGGCCTGATCCAATCACATTGCTTTCACATAGGATTGGCTTAGACTGACAAGGAGGCAGAGCCAGCACAAGCCAAAAACAGCCCTGGCCAATAAGCATCTCCTCATAGAGATGAATTGAATTAATGAATCTCTATGAGGAAAGTTCAGTGTCTGCATGCAGAGGGAGGAGACACTGAATGTTTGGATGCATTTTAGGCAGCCATGACCCAGGAAGGATCTCTAACAGCCATCTAAGGAGTGGCCAGTGGAGTTATCACTAGGCTGTAATGTAAACACTGCATTTTCTCTGAAAAGACAGTGTTTACAGCAAAAAACCTAAAGGTAATGATTCTACTCACCAGAACAAATTCAATAAGCTGTAGTTATTCCGCTGACTATAGGGTCCCTTTAACTTTCCATGAATTTCCTTTTTTAAGATTAGAGGCAGTACAGATTTCCTTCGCTGTTTAAAAAAAAAAGAATAATTTTTGCGGTAACTTTGACTTGTGCATTTTCCAGGGACCTGGTGCTGTTTCCTGTATTTATACTAAAGAAGGAGGTAAGGTTTTAATTATATATTTCATCCTGCCTGTCCTGTCTGAGGTAGGTGGAAATACCTATGGAACTGTACTGCCTCTAATCTTACCGAAAAGAAATGAAGGTTAGTAAAATTTAGATTTTTAT